AAAAAAAAAAAAAAAAAAAAAAAAAAAAAAAGAATAAAAAAGGTAAACGAGTAACGCGCCATGACAAAGGCGACAACTACAAGTAGCCATCCTCATATATAACCTTGTAGTGGTCTATTTCTTTCCGTTTCTCCTTCTCGTTGAGCGAATTTTGAATAAACTCATCTTCAACTTTCTTCACCTCCTCATGGGTGTTGCATAATTTGTACATATCGAGCAACTCTCCATTCAGATTTACAAAACTTGAGCTCCATTTGTAAATATTGAGAATATCTGTACATTGTTTGTTGTAGCCACACACATATAAGCAAAATGCCAACGATTCCAAGCAGGAGAGCTTGTAGGGCTTTCCATAATTTATACTATTAACTGCAATGATGTAGGGTAATTTCCTCTGATTTGTGAACTTGGCTTTTTTCAATAAGTCCAGCGATTTCCACGAACAGTCAATTACGGACAGGCCAAAATTCTCCATAGTGGCTTTATCATTTATGGAAAAGTATTTGTCACAGAATGGCGTTAATACGATTCCTTTAAACTTTTTATTGATGGGAGCCTTTTTTATTTTTTTAAATCGGTATAACTTCTTACAGGAGCACTTTTGGTTTTGGCATTCATTGTAATCAAACATGAACAGCTTTATTTCGCTTCCGCCGGGGGAGGCCAGCGTCGCGTCCGGCCCGTACGTACAGACAGCATGTTCCTCATCACGTTCGCCGTCGTCGTGACATTCGTCTTCATCATCAACGTTGCCGTCTCCGACGTCATAATCTCCGCCGCTTTCCACATGTTGCGCGGGATCCCTAGCTTTGTCCTTTTTTCCCACCTGTTCATTATGCTCAATGTGGGAAAAATCATTGTGCGTTTCTCCATGCAGACCGTTTCCTGCCTTGATACTTGTGGTACCGTCCGCTCCTACAGCCAGCCGCTTATTCCTTACGTTTTGTTTATTCCTGTCATTAATCAGTTTCACCAAATTGTGAACTGAGTACTTTTTTCTTTCCATCTGGGAGTTCTTCATTTTGTTTCAAACGGAAAAAAAGAAAAAAAAATAATAAAATAAAATAAGCAGCTTTATATTTATAGCTCTACGGTTACCGCTTGTTTTTCCATGTAGCATGAAAAAAAACAAAGAAAAAAAAAAACTTACATGTTGTTATGTAGCATTTTAGCACAAATGTCGTATCCTGTTCAGGTTAAATTATCGTGGCAATTTTTTCTTCCGTGCGATCATAATGGAACCACGGCAAAAAAATTTCTCACTCTTTCGTGATTCAGCCATTTTGTTGCTGCCGGTGGACAGTTTATGGAAGAGCTGAAATGAAAAAAAAAAAAAAAAAACAGATACGGTGCGGTCCGGAGTCTCGTTTTTCCCGAGTTCAATTTGGTTCAGTTCAGTTCACATCAGTTGGTTCCGTTCGCTTCAATTGCTCCTCTTCGCGCAATCCCTGTGTGAGTCCGTACACAATCAAAAGAATCCATTGTTATAAATTGCTTGAATGATCAGAAAAAAATTCCCCCACAGAAGAGCGCATTTTGCGGTTTTGCCATCCCTGTTCCACGTGTATGCATGTTCGTAAGCACATGTACATAAATGCAAATGGAAGTAGCTTCTTCATGATTTTACACATTGCACGAACTTACATTTGTGTTAAGTGCAAAGGGGAACAAATTCGAAGGGTTCACTTATTTATTTTATTTTTTATGGAAAGAAAATAGAATAATTGTGTGTAGAGAGAAATATGCATCTATTTTTTTTTTTTTTTTCCCCATTTGACCTCCCTCAAAGTTGTTGAACTAAAATGATGAATCAAAAGCAGCTAAAGGAAAAGAGAAGGGGAAACGGAAGGAGGACAGAGAACGAGTTAGCCAAAATTAACATTTTCCTATCGCATTATAGAAATGAGAATTAACAATGGGCTCTCTTTTTTGCAACCCCATTCATTATGTCCTTCCTCTTCTGCATCTCCCTCGTCTTTTTTTTCTTTTTTTGTTTTTTCCTCTGGAACTTGCGGCAAAGAATGACAATCCCACGTCCTAAAAAAATGATAGCAAATTTTGTCATGTTCGTAATTCTTACTGTAAAAACATACTCTTGTTTTCATGTAAATTATAAAATTTTATCAAGCCGGAACGACAAGCAGACTTATGTGAAGACAATTTCATCCGCCAATTATTTGTATAGCAAATGTTCACTTAACAAATGGTTCCCCTATAAATGTCTGCAAAATAGTCAGCCAAGGAAATACAAAAATAAACTGTTGTCTTTTTTTTCAAATTATTTTACCAATGAGCAGGACAGATATACTCTAAGTTAGCATTTTAAGCGGCGAAAAGAGGGAACAAATTATAAAAAGCAAAGATGCCATTTCGCGCACAAATTTATGTGTGGTGTTCAAATTTGGTTGTGATATCAGCATATTTGTATATTGATACATATGTGTACACCACTCGACTCCCACTTTTGGTCCCCCTTTTCAAAGCGGGACATGTGCTTCACCGCCATAGTGAGAGAAGCTCAGTGAAATGCGTGTCTGGTCAAAGAAGGAAAAAAATGAAAAAAAAACTTATTAGCCTCTTAAAAGGCAGAGATGATACACCGTACAGCTCTTTCATATTTTATTTTATTAATTTTTTCCTTTTTTTCCCTTTTTTCCCTTTTTTCTTTCCCATCCAAAATAGATAAAGAGGAGAAGGAATACCTAAGGAAGCTTGGGAAAACCGACAGAGACAACTACAACGAGTTGGTTAAGGCCCATGATGAGTTCATTAAGACTTGTAGTGACATTAAGAGCAAATTAAAATATAAAGATATGTTTTTTTTTATAACACAGAAAATAATTCAAAGAAGTTTGCACGACTTTAAAAGAAAGCAGAAGTTTAACCTGTTTGGAAATGATGAGTATACGAGCGAACTGTCTGTTGACTACATAAAGAGCGCGAACATCGAGGAAAGGGTGAAGCAACAGGTGCTGAAAAACCTGGGTGAAGAGTTGGGCAGCACTAGATACCTCCTCTTCCGAATCTTTAAATGGTAAGAGCGTGAGGAGTGCGAAGATAGAATAGTCTCCAATGACTACCTGCTTATATAACAACATACACGCGAGAACCAAATTCTAACATCACGGATACCATTGTGGTGGACACAAATGACCCTCTACCCTTTTTACAGGAAGAGTCTCCTAGAAGTAGTTAACATTAGCACACTGATGCTGCCAATCAGTGCACTTGGCTTGTTTCTCTCAAAGATGGGCTTCTTTTCCGTCGCAGTGAATATGCTACTGACGACCCACTTCTTAACCTTCAGCAAGGAAGAAAAGAGGAAAATGAAAATACGCACCTTACTCTTAACCCTGCTGCCGATCTTAGTGCACTCCTCCCTAGGAGTGCTTTGCAGCAACATATTCCTCAAGCACTACCGGGTAATGAATGCGGGGAATTCAAATGCGCGCATCTACATACCTATTTGTGCGAACTTTATCCATGTGTGGACCACCCTACGTGTAACCTCCACACACCATGGCATATCCACAACTTGTGGAGAAAATATATGCAACGTAGCATGGGTGCGCAGAAACTGATTCATCACGGAAGAGCCGTTAGTTATCGTGCTCACTCTCACAATATATTCCCTCAATCTCCGTGCCGCTATATATGTGGTTATCTGTCGTATATGAAAATATAAAATTATTCCTTTCATGGCAACCCCTGCAGGCACAGATTCCCTCATTTATCAAAAGCGAAAATATTTTGTCTTTTTTCATAAATATGCAATTGTATATAGCTTCCCTGGTGTATTTTGTTAACATTGACAAGGAGGACGATTTGGAAGAAGGAGATATAAAAAATGATTATTCTGATTTTAATATTGATGAAACCATGCAGCAAAGTAGATAAAGCACATGTCACGGAAGATTAAACACGCTCGTGTAAATGTATTGCGTTCTTTTTAGAAAAAATCGCATTTTTCTTAAGAGAACATAATTTTGTTTTATTAACAATTTGCGGTAATAAATATTGTAACTATTTGCGAAGCAGTTTTTTTTTTTTTTTTTTTCTTCCCCCCTGTTCCTTATGTCTATTTGGGTACATTTTTCTGTGCTGAGCTGCCCTCAGCCTTGTTGCAAAAATGGATGTGCTTCGTTTGATTGCACCCTTCAGTGTGATCTATTTCTTTTCGTGTATTTTTTTACACAGTATGTTTTTGTTCAATTTGGATAAGTATACTACCTAATGCTTTACAATAGCGATAAGGGAAACTTTACCTTTAACGCAAAAAATGTCCACAGAGCAAGACTTAGAAAAAAGCCGAAACAAACAAACAAAAAAGAAAAAGAACTTCGTGCATTACGCTCAACAGAACGTATTAATTTATGCATTAGGTCTTACGAGTTGATAGCTCTGCACAGTTCTTATCTTTCTTCTAAATTTGACCCAAGTGTTAAAAGTATAAAAAAAACAGGAAAAGAAAAACGCAAATGGGGAATGCACACGATGAGACCTTTCGGATGAGCATAAAATTGGGTGTAATCTGACACACGTGATTCATTTTTTTTTAAGCATGCATTTACAAAGGGATAATTTGATCGATTTGTTATTTTACACATGATCAGGCATCGGTGCATTAATCTCGATACGTCCCGTTTTACCTTTCGGTCCTGGTCTTTCATGTGTGCTCCGCCAGGCGTGTCGCTTCATCTGTTAAGTGTCAAAACGACCCTGTGATGCATAACGTGTCAATCTCGGGGCGGAGAACTCGTATAAGCAATTTTGCACATTCTTCTCATGTGAGCTGCTGTAACTGACATCTGTCGACAAGCAATCTTGATTACTTAACGCACGCTCGCTAAATGTGCACGGACGGCCTCGGAAGCTGGGGCATGTCGTGCATGGGTCGTAAAGTGCATCATACGCATATGTGCATGTGTATATGTATGTGTGCATGCGTATGTGCCCAATTACACATATGCACATACACACTACTACGCTACGGGCCCGCCTAACGAATTAGCTCAATTTTTGCCCGATTTCGTCGTGCACCATGATTTTTGTAATTGCCCAGCGGGGTCAACCAAGCAACTGGAGAAGGGCGAAAGCCACAAGTGCTCCTCGCCTTGTGCACACACCGATGTGATGGATCAGTACAAGTGGGAGGCATTACCAAGTTGGGACCACCCACTTAGATTCACCCAGTTGGATCCAATCAGTTAAAATTACTAAGTTAGAAGCATAAAGTTAGAATATTTGAAGATAGAAGTTATGAAGATACAGGTTGCCGTGTTAGAAATCCAACACAATGTGATATTTCCCCCAAAGTGTGCAAAGTCCCCACAAATGAGAAGTACCTGGGCTAATGCGATGCATTCCACAATGCTGCAACAAATGAACACATATTTGACAAAGCCCCATACAAACATGGGGCTATCACAAAATGTATCACAGTTGCAAAAAAAAAAAATTAGGATTTACTTGGAAAATCAATTAAATCATAAAACTTAAAAAATGAAATGTTATTTTTTAAATCCTTTAATCTGTCAATAATTCTTATATTTCTATATTTGTAGAATGAAAAAGGTTCTTCTTCTTCATTGTCACTACTGAATTCGCATTGTTCAGAATTATTTTTTAAAATTTTCCTTAAATCAAATGAGTCGTATTTATTTAAACTCCTATTGTGATATTTGCAATTCTTGTTTTCTACAATTCCTTCGTCTTCGAAAAAGTCCCTCTCCCGTAATCTACATTTACGTGCGTGTGTATGTATAAGAATAAGTGGATGATAGACCCAGAGGTGGATGGGTGGTTACGCGGACAGATGGGGACATAAGGTGAAGAGGTGAGAAAAAGAATAAATAAGAAAAAAATATATCGTACATTCATCTACATGTACCAAATAAAGAATAACATTCGTCTCTTAAAACACAACAAATTAAAGCAGCATGGTATTCATACGTCGAGCAGCAGTTTCATCATTAAATATATGTAAACTGCCATGTGAGAGAAGAGCTCCAGAGCGATACGGTTGCATCGGCAATTTCGCTCGCAGGGTCGAAAACGTGTCTAATACCTGTCGCAGGAGCGCGAAAAGGATCAAAGAAAACAAAGTGCAAAAAAAAACATACACAAATGAATTCACAAATATTCGCACACAGGTTTACACATACTCGTGCTGAAGCTGTGCTCAAAACCAATATACATCAATACATTTTGTCGAACCAAAATGAGTTGGCTCAATTCTTCTCTTTACCTGTAAGAATCAATTTTACGGAGATATTTTCTGGTAATTTTATCAATTTTTTTTTTTTTCACATTATTTTCTTCGTCATGGATTTCTTTTATCATGCTTCAAAAGGGGAACCAAAAAAAAGAAAAGCAGCAGAACAGTAAAATAATATAATAATAAAATAATTAAATGGTAATAAAAGCACAAGGTAGGGGGACGTAAACTGTAAGCGCACTAGAAATAGTATCAGAAATAGTCATAATGACAAATCATTCATTTCCAGTGTTTGATCAAAAATAAAAGACAGAAGATGCAGGAACGCTCAAGCCAAGGTAGCAAGCAAAATGGCTCAGGTAAGCTCAAAATTGATTAATTACTTTTTGAAATAATTCGAAAAAAGGTCGACGTTTATGTTACCATCCCGCTCGATGACAATTTTTATGTCTTTTTTTATGTACTCATAAAAATTACAAATCGTGCTTCTGTAGTCCTCCTGAGAAATGTATAAAAAAAGGAATTTAAATGAATGAGGTATCTCCCTGGTTCGTTTGTATGTGCACACAAGCATATATATATTTCTTTCTTTATGCTCTCCTGTTTGTGGATATGCACCCACACATGGATAACGTGCGAATTTTTTTTTAAATTTCTCTCGTTGTACACAAATGCTCGTGTGAGATAGACTTCTACATACTCAGATAGAAGTGTATACGTGTGCGTACAAGTGGAGCATACTGAAAATCACATGCAGTCGATGTCGTGTTGAGGCATATGTGCATATTCTTCTGTCATAGGCACACAAAGAGATAATACTCGTTGCAAACGTACCATTTTCATGTTGCTTATGGCACGCAACTGATCATCTCCTTTCTGAGCATACTCATTAAAATTACATTTCTGCAAAAATGAAAAAAAAACAAAAAAAGGAAATCTTTTTTGAGTTGAAAGAGAAAAAAATGACTGCATCCGTACATATGTACTTATATAACCAGGTCGAATGGGGAGACATAAGAGTGAAATGCCACTATCGATAATTTGAATCAACTGATGTTCACAAACATGTATGTATACATGTGCATATCTGCATACAAACACTTGACCTTAAAGTGCTCAATAGGTAATAGACTCGGTGCAGTATAATTACAAAAAAAAAAAAATAAAAATAAAATAGGCATGTGGCAGAAGTGAGTACAGCATTGTGAATAATAATGATAATAATGCCAAACTGTGCAGAACAAATATACTACAAGTATACATAAGCAGTAATTCTCAAATGTAGAACATGAATATTACCTTATATTTAAAAATTAATAAAAAAAAAAAAAAAAAAAAACGCTTTTTACAGAGTACGCCATTTGTACGTCATGACACTGGTATTGCAGGTGAAGAAGCAACCAAGCAAAGTGGAAAACAGAATTAGGCACTTTAAAATAGAGTGTTAATGGTGAAACACAACTAAAATATAAACTACTATGTAAACAAGCCTGTAGCTTTAATGATTCCAGAAAAAACAAGAAAATGATAATTTTCAGGAAAAGTAGCCAACGAATTGAGAATATAATAAGTTAGCACAAACAGATAAGCTATCCAACGACATATAGAACACACATGAAGTTGTTTACATAATTTTGTAAGACTAAAAATATACATTTCTTTCCTTTTGCTTAAATAACACCCATGCAATACAGTCCTTAAATCGGACCATGTTGTATGCACTTCGTTTCTTCTTTGCTTCTTTCCTTTTCTTAGCTCATATCCCCTTACTATGTTTTTCAATTTTCATCTCCATTTAACACCATTTAATTAATCATGTCGAATTCGAACAACATGACTACTTCGGAAAAAGATTAAGTCTTACACAGATGTACAGTAAAAAAATAAAGTGGAAGATGGAAACAGAATAGAGTATAAATTTATTTACCTCTTTCTCCTTAAGCAATATTCTTAATTTCCCCCTTTTCCTTTTTTTAACCCTATACATCCGTTTTCTTAATATAGAGTCAGTTAAAAACGTTCGGTTTCTTCCTATAAAGAAAAAAAGAGAATGACAACACCAAATTATAATGTTGTAGAGGCGAAACAATGTTGCGTTTTTGTTGTGCTCAAGGTGCACAGCACTTGTAGTGGCATAAAGAAGAGGTACCGGCCCTATATTATGTTTTTACAGCTTTATGACCTTCATTTTGCATATTTTCCTATATAACTATTAAAATGGATTCTTTTTACATTTAAAAAATGTACATTCAATATTTTATTCTTGTTTTTCATTTTTTTTTTTTTTTTTGCCCCTTTTTTTTTTTTTTTTTTAATCCACTGTTCTCCCTGCCTACTCCGAGTAGGATAGTTGGTGTGCTATCCACTTTCCTTTTACTTTTCGTTCATTTATTACTTAGTGCTTTTCTTATATCAATAAGTAAAGTATTACTGCAACAAGACAAGGTATTCTCTCCGTCGGTGCAGTAATCATTATGAGTGAAAATTCTTTTCAGCATGCAGCTGTTTTTAAAGAATTTATTGTATTTATGACATTTTCCCTTTGTATTCTTATCATTTACTGATTCCATATTTGTGTAGATCAATTCTCCTTGATCTGTAATTTCAAAATTATCTTTTTCGTCAAAATTATAGCAATTTAATTCATTTCTACATATTCCTCTGTTGTCTCCTCTACAAAAGAAATTGCTTGAATTGATCATATTGTCAAATGTTTCATGAGTGATTAGATAAGCATGCTGATCCCGACGAATTCGTTTTTTTCTTTTTTTGATATATCCATTGGTTTCTTGGCCAAAGTGGAAACTCATTGTTACGTCATTTTGCGGTGTTTCATTCTGTACTCCTCCACTTTGTGGTGTGTTATTTTTTATTGCTACATTTTGCAGTGCTCTTGTTTGTAGGGCACCGTTGTTGTGGGTACAACCGTGCAGTATACCATTTTGTAGAGCACGATTTTTCTCTATATCTTTTGTTTGTGCGTAATTTTCCGCTTCATCCCCATATTCTCCCGTATGTCGATTTCTTGCACGAACGAGATTCTCCTCGTTAAGCATTAAACTGTTGAACGTATTCAAAAAACTGGCACTGTAGCTCCTACTCTTTTCCAACAATAATGTGTTCTTGTTTCTCCTTCGTATGTTGTTATTAATTTGTTTAAATAGCGTACACATGCTTTTGTTTAATCTGTTATAAGATCTTTTTCCGTTATCAATATATTTTTTTTTTTCTTTGAGTGACAAAAATTTGTTCAGTTCAACCTTTATTTTACTGTTTTCTTCTTGCTGTTTCCATGAGGACATCTCCAATTGTTCATTTTTGTTCCTAAGTTTTTCATTTTGATTCACAAGGTTGTTTATTTTTTCCTGTAAATTATGTGTGTTTCTATTTTTTTCCTTTTCGCATTTTAAGCTCTTTTCCAATTCGTATATATAATTATCCTGAATTTCTGCATTCTCTAAGTCCACTTTTAATTTCTCAATTAATTTTTTATTTCTATTTTTTAAATTCTCCAAATTTTCATCTATGCAACAGAAGTTTGTCCTTAAAAATGCTTTAATATTTATAATAAAGTTTTGAGAAAAGTATTCTATGAACTTTTCATCAATATGTTCTTCTTCACTGTTGCATTCTTGAAATTTATTTTGTATGTTATATGCATTTTCAATGCAGCTGTCATATATAAGCGTGTACCTTTCGTTATTGTCACTTTTTATTTTTTGATTTAAGTCTTTTAAAAAATTATTAAACAAGTTAAATTCTAAGTAAATATTATGCAAATAGTTGCTGCAAATTGGAATGTTCATTTTTGCAGTATATATAGAGAGTGAAAAAAAAAAAAAAAAAAATGTTCTGTGTGCACAATGAAATTTCAACTCAGTTGTATTTTCCTACTTGTTTGACATTTTTTTTTTCCTTTTTTTTCTTTATTCTATTCTTATTTAAACATTTTACACACAATTGTTTCTTTCATCTACGGTTAAAACCCTACGTCTGCAAATCGAAGTACTTGTAATGGCACGTATATAAAAACAACCGGGGGATGATGTTGTATTTTGGCATAAGATAGAAAATGTGATATGCTTTAAAAAGGAAAAGAATAAAGTAAACAGCGCATCAGGCTTCACACTGTGCAGAAGTACACTCCTACAACGAATAAACGACAAAATTTTTCAATCTGCATGTTTTCATGTTACCTAAAGTGGCATTTTATAAGTGAGAACGTGCGCACAATTTGTCTATGAGGAAATCCATGTACATTTGTAGAGTTATTCAAAGGTTTGAACAATTGTGTACTTTTCCTTTTTTATACACACTGCCTCACTGTTGCTTTGATTGAATAGAAAAGGAAAAATGTGTGGAAAAAGAAATGTCTTTTCGTTAACGTCCTCTGCACAATTATGCCTTTGTTCCGTGTATATTGTGTGACATGTTGTGTCATTTTGCAAATTTATGCATAATTTTGTGCAATTTTGAAAACATTTTCGTTATTTATATATACGTAACCATTTTTGGGTTAAGCCCATGTACATGCAGTTTTTTAAAAATTCATGCTGGTATAGAACAATTCATATGTTTTTTTTTTTTTTTTTTTTTTTTAACCCCCTGAACAAATGACAAAATATGCTGGATGTATACACAGCGAAATGTTCATATATACACAATATGTTTTAACGCAGAATAATGTTATTTGTATATTTTAAAAGAAAAATTAAAAGAATATTTTATTTTTTTTTTAAATGGTACACTGTTTTCACTTATTTGGCGTATATTCTGGAGGACCCTTTATACGTACCTTCAACGTGTAAATTTGCGGGATCAATTTTTTTTTTTTTTTTTCTAATTATACTTTTTCCTTTTATTTATATAATTTATGAATGTGTCATTAAATTATAAGAAACATATTTTAATTAAGGAAATAAAATTATAAAATCAAATTGTGTATTCATTTGAAAGAAATGGATTTGTTTTCCCCTTTGTTAGAGAGATACCTCCCAAAATGTGACAACGAAAGGAATTGCCTGCTATTTGCTGTAAATAGGCGATGTATATAAATAGAAAAATTGTGCCTACGCATGTGTAATTTTATATCTTTTATTTATAATATATTCATACATTGTGCCTTTTCCATATATTTGACATATTTCCCTTTTTTATGTTCGACTTTTAACATTTTCGACATCACACAGGGCCTATGTGAGGGGTACCTATATGCATATTTTTTTTTTTTGTAGAATGTTTTTAACGGTTGTTTCTCGTATTTGAACGACTGTAAAATTTTCTGTACCCCTTTTTTCACCCTGTTAAAGGGTTTGGAATATTTTTGTCATTGTAAAATACCTTGTATTTTGGAAGGTTGTGTCAAATGTGTTGCTAAAAGGATACTTTTTTTTATAATATTTTTTTTAAAAAAAACAGCAACAGTACTGACAAAAAAGTTTATCTTTTGTATAAATGTTTTTTTTTTTTTTTGAAAAAAAAAAATGTGTAGAGTCAAGCGTGTACATGTATAGATGTAAACTTAAATTATACATGCACAGTGTGCTTGCGTACACTGCGGCAAATGTTTTCACATACACATGTGCACATATATATATATATATATATATATATGGGACTGTTGAAAATAGGTGGAGAAAAATATACTTAAAACAATCGATTGTGCGCTTACGTTTTACATTCACGACTAATATATTTAATATTCAAAATGTAAGGGAAAGCGCATACATAGGTGTGTATATACATGTATAGGCGCATATACACCTATGTACATATATGCATTAGCACATTGGTATATAACTGTCAAATTAAAAAATGTTAATGTATTTAAACATTCCTGCATTGGGACATCATAGAAAGGGTAAAAACTTCCTACATATCTTTATAAATATATAATCTCGAAAAAAGAATGCTTCTTCCGTCCCCTGTATTCTTGACGTTTCGATTTTTTTACTAAACTGATCATGCACGTATATATATGCACACATGCATATACACATGGTTGTGTGCGCGTATAATAGACGTAGTAGAACAGCGCGTCTTATTATGTGTGTTACTCTGCTTGGGACTGCCTTGTGGACGGTGTGGGTTTACGCATATGTGCATTTATACATATATGTACGTGTGTGTGATGGATGCGCGCGCTATGCTCCCGTGTGGACGCACTAATAAATGTACATACGTGTACATACATATGGAACACAGAAGCATATACATATATAATATATGCATTAGCACATTGGTATATAACTGTCAAATTAAAAAATGTTAATGTATTTAAACATTCCTGCATTGGGACATCATAGAAAGGGTAAAAACTTCCTACATATCTTTATAAATATATAATCTCGAAAAAAGAATGCTTCTTCCGTCCCCTGTATTCTTGACGTTTCGATTTTTTTACTAAACTGATCATGCACGTATATATATGCACACATGCATATACACATGGTTGTGTGCGCGTATAATAGACGTAGTAGAACAGCGCGTCTTATTATGTGTGTTACTCTGCTTGGGACTGCCTTGTGGACGGTGTGGGTTTACGCATATGTGCATTTATACATATATGTACGTGTGTGTGATGGATGCGCGCGCTATGCTCCCGTGTGGACGCACTAATAAATGTACATACGTGTACATACATATGGAACACAGAAGCATATACATATATATATATATATTCATATAAATAGAAATTAGAGTATTCGTTAATTATTTAAATAAACACACAAAAAAAAAAAAATAATAAAATAATGCCATGTGGTATGTACGCATGTATACACAGAGATATTCGTTTTGTCATGCATTGTAAATCATGCATTTGTTGTAACCTCCCTATGGTAAAAAAAAATACTTTCACATTCTGTCTTTTTCATTCTTCGGCATTAATTTTCATATATTCTGTGGATTATATATGTCTATTCCTTTTTTTCTCTTTGTTTGTTTTCTTTTTCCTTTAATATATTTAGCCAATTATAATAAATGGTGTAAATTTTGTTAGTAAGGGATAAATGGGTGTGCAATATAATAAGCATAGGGAGGGAGGGATTGGGATAATACGTTGCTATAACAACGTGATACACGCAGCGCCTCGCTGTACCTGGGTGAGAACAAATACATATATGTACACTTAACTATATAGCTCTATGGCGCACACAACTTGGTATGGGTTGTACCTATGACACAAGATCATATTAATGTATGTGCTCACATACTTAGGCTGTTCGATATCGAAGTCTTGACAGAAGAAAATTTAAGAGTTCTTGTGGGTATATGTATTCAATAACTTTCGAAGGGTACAAGCTGTGAATTTCTTTATTATTTATATTGTGTATAACCGAAATGTACAACTCGTCTCCAACGTTGTGCAAATTTTTGATAACAATTCTACTTTCCTTGGAAGTTTTTTTCCTCCGTATGTATTTTTTAAAATCGTTTACTTTTATGTTTAGATGTCCTGTTCTTCGTATATTGGACTCTTCTACCCATTGTGGCGAGGCGTTTTTCAAGCTAGCCAAGAATTCCATCTTTCTATTTTTAATTCGGACACTGTACACATCTTCTACATTTAGCAAAGAGCTATCGTGAGGATTTTCGATGGTTTCTTGTTTAATTGATTCGTTATATTCGTCGTCACTCATTTTTTGTGAAGTATCGGAAAGTGGAGATAACATTTTTTTTGCTTCCAATTTGTTCGTTACGCTCTTCTTATTACTTTTTTTTTTTGAAATTAGTGGATTCTTACTCTTGTTTTTGACGATATCAGTGGTGCTAACTTCTTCTTGCAACGAGGATGGTGACGATATGTGGTTTTTTAACATATTACCATCGTTGTGGGTTGTATGGACTTTGTTTAAATAAGTAGACTTCAAATGTTCCATTTTTTTTTTGAAGGCTGTTAAATGGACTAAGTTACTTTCTGGTTCCCATGTGTTCTCATCGTCCGAGTAGCCCTTCCACTTCACTAGGTAAATGAACCCATTTTTCTTTTTTTTTACTTCAAGGATATCTCCTATTTCAAATTCTTCATCTGATCCAGTCATTTTTCTGTCACGTGGGTGTTTTACCTGTACTTTGGTTATATGTGTATGCTTTGAATATGCGTACAAATATATGTATATTCGCGTATGTAAAGGAGGGCACAAGGCGTATGGCGTAGGCACCTACGTATGTAATATGTATAATATCACATATACTTGTAAAGGCGACTTATACAAACGTGTATATACATATATATACACAATACATACGCCCTATCCTCTTTCTTGTGCCCTGTAACCGTACAAAAGAAAGGATATGTAAACGATTTGCATACAATACATATATAACTTGTACGAAAAAAACTAAATAAATAATAATAATAAAATGAAAAAAAAATATATTATTAAAAAAAATAATTTTTCCTTTCTTGGTGTACTTTAAAATATGATTGGTTTATCTGAATATTTTCATAAATATTTCAAAAATATATATTTTTTTTCTTTTTTTTTTTTTTTTTTTTTTTGCTTAAGATTAATTTTACGGCTTGTGAAAATATTTTGTTTAAAACTTCCAGAAAAAGAAAAAAAAAAAAAAAATAATATTTTCTTGTATAATTTTTCAAAAAAGAAAAAAAAAAATTAAATTAAATAAAAATTAAACTAAACTAAATAAAATTAAATTAACACATTCGTAAGAATAGGAATATGAATAGTATTTATTTTCTTGTTTCCTAAAAATAATAATCTGTGTTGTATTTATTTTTTCTGTAAAATATGTGCTTTTTTTTACTAGTATATTGATGTGAAAAAAAAAAAAAAAATACGCTTTAAAAAAAGGGAATTTTTGTATTTTACCACGCAAAAATATTTCATCCAATCATTGCAATATATATAATATTTACGCGTTTATATATAAATTATAAAATTATATATAAAATATATATTTAAATGTGTCATTTATATATGCAGTACGTACAACAATAACCGCATAGTTTTTTTTTTTTTTCTGTCAATATATATATTTCTCGCGCGTAACGCGTAAAAGTGTATTATGCATATATATATGTGTACGTATGTGTATATATGTACGGACAGGTGTACCAACGTAAAATATATAAATGCATTAATTATTTATGCATAAATAATTAATGATTAAATAATATATGCATAAATAATTAATTGCATTTATTATATGTACATATTTATTTATGGAAATGTTTAAAATTTTATACACTTGTGTTATGCGCGTTGTATTGTGTGGCAATACGGGCCGCAACCAGCTTGCGCACAAATGTCACAGTGAGGGCTCGCAACCCGTGTCACAACTTGCCTCGCGTGAAAAAACGTACGCAACAGGATCGTTTGCATAAATGTGAGGTATACACATGTGTGGAGGTGCGCGTACACATACGGTTGTAAAGGAGGGTGGAATATATGTGTATGCGAATATTACAAGCACATACCGCCTATGCGTGAGAACAGATCGCACACCATATCCCTCTTGTACATATGCAGAGGTGTAAACAGGAACATACAAGTGTGTACAGGTGGGAAACGAGACGCGTATTCCCTGCTAAGCGCCAAGTGTAATGTTAACTGGTAAACAATGCTATTAAGCTGTACTGTACTGCCGCGTGGCACATAGTGGTACGTACGCATCAGGCACAGGACTTATGCGCTGGTGCTTATATGGTTCATGTATGTACTACATGTAGTGTGTATGCGTCGCGCATAAGCGTATAAGTACAAACAAGAACATACCAATATACATACGTACCATGTATGGTATGTATATTTAGATAAGTACATCATCAACATGTATTCGCATATATGTTCGAAACTTGGTTTCTTTGTATCTTCCTCTCTTTAATCTAGTAACAGTGCTTTTGTTGTATAAATTAATAAAAAATAAACGGTAAAGGGGACAAAAATATGAATAAGCATTGTATGAGATAAGGAAAAATGAATCTATTGGCACAAAAGTGTTTCTTTCTTTTTTTTGCCAAAACGAAAAATTTACTTATTAAAAACGATCTATAGCCATTAGATGAGCTTAAGTCATTAGGAAAAAGAAAGAAATTGAAAACGTTCACACATATGTATGCGTAAGAAGGCACTTTAAAGGCACCTAAAGGTTCATAGGGGTACCTGAAGGTACACAAAGAGGCAAACACAAACGTAAGTATTAGGTGTGCATACAAATCTGTACTATAAACGCGATGCAACTCCTTTCGGTTTTTTGTTCCCCTCCCAGCTCTTGTCCTTCTACAAGGATCATAACAATATTGATCTCTATTATTTCTGTTGTAATATTTTCGCCAGGTGAAAATTATACATAATACAACTTTGTTCCCCTGATGCTAGAATTAGCATGGTTATGTTTCATTGAGGTCATGTGGGCACGGCCATGTCACTACAGTCATTCATATACGGAAACACCTGTACGATTAAGTTCGTGTAAAAAATATATCGTGCCACTTCTACGCAAATGTTACACAGTGGGGATATAATCCGTACAAAATCGCCTTATCAGGGTTCCCAAAAACGGGGTAGTGTAATAAGTTGCTAACTTTTGTGGTAAGGCAGGTGCACAGGATACTAAATTGCGTCGTGAAATAGGTGACAACAATAGATGTGAAAGTTAACTCTGTCGTTAAATCATGCAATTGCACTAACTGCAATGGTTCCTTTGTACTTTACACGTTTTCTCAAAATGGCACATGTGGGGTATATTTTAGTACATACATATCATATACACATAAAGATGCATAATTATGCACAAATAATATAAATATTCATAACTAATTTTACAGAAATAAAAGTAAAGATTAGTTATTTTCTATTTTCTCGTGTATTCATTTATTCTTTTGTTTTAGAAATGCACAAATGGTTTATACATATACGTACGTAAACACATATAAATATGCCTAGCAGTCAATTTTCTCCCATCATTTTCATCTATATAACGAGAACAAGAGTGGAAAGCACATATGTATAATTAGAAAATTAGTAGTTGGTAAATGGTAAATTGGTAAAATAAAAAATTTTAAAATAATTTCGAATGCAAATGGGTATAATCCACCCATACCTTGCGTATTGAATGAGAAAAGTGCAATTTAAAGAAACGCTTTAGGCAAAAAAAAAATGATCTATTGCTCGTTTGCAAAATGATGCCGTCATACATTCTTTTATTGTATTCTGCTACATTTCTTGCAACAGTGTGCGTACTTTACATTATTATGCCATTCTTTGCCCCACGTTTTTCTATTTTGCACTAGGTGACATTACTTTGCAGTCACTGCACCATAACTTGCTTCCAGTCCATTCTGTTATGTATTTTTGTACTTAAAAAAGCATATATATAGTGCATTAGGATTTTTAATTCTAACCTATTTAAAGAACAGAACCCCGTCAAGCCTGCTTAAAATTGAGAAGTGGGCAGCAGTCACGTAAACAAGCCAACCGCTCAATTGTACATATACATGTGCGCAGGGAAAGCATGTACCTTTGTGAAAAGTAAACACATGTTTGCTAATATAAACTTATGCTTTCACGTAAGTGGTAAATATTTTATAACGCATGTTCATACTTACATTTATTTATGTACACGCATAAAATATATTACTCATTTGCAAGGGTACAGAAATTACACAACTGCACTGCAACAGAATTCGTTCCTGCGTCTTGCAATTTCTTGGAAACTGCACATTCAAAATAATACATAAAATATATGAAAGGTAGTATTGCTTCCTTTAAAATAGATATAGAATTAAATATAAGCATGAGAAAAGAAAAACAGAACTCGAAATCCTTTTCTCCTTTATATTTTATTTATTTTTTTTTTTTTTCTAGAACATTTTAAAATAATCTAAGTTAAAATTAGAACCATGTGGAAACCCATTTTGCTATTTTTAGTTTAATTCCATGTGGTAATTTTTTTGTTTTTTTCTTTTCTCCTGTAGTTTTACTATGTTTTCCCCATCCCCCGCTCTACACGGGGAAAAAGTGGATATAGAACAGGTTGTTATGTCCACATTTGTTTCTTTCTCTAGAAGACGTAATAATAATTATTTTATGTTTTGCCCATCAAGCGTTTTGCGCAGGAAAGAAGGCAAGGGGCAAGGGTGAATTCTGTGACTAAAGCGAAAAACAAAACGAATAATAAAAAGGAACAACGCGAATGAATCCTATAATGCAATTAATTCATTTATTGATTTAAGGCGACTAATAACGCTTATAACATTTCAAGTGACTAATGCTTTTATATGCACTTAATGCATTTATGCTATTTAGCACAATTATATATTCATCGTGGCGCATTTACGAATTCATACGCAAAATATATATAATTATACATTTCTAAGAGCACCCAGTTTTTTTGTACCGATATATTTTTACACGTTTATTCAACGCAAGAGGCAAAGGGTGTGTTTCCATTTATTCAAAATGCAATTCGTCGTTTTTAATTACATTATTTGTTATAATAAATTCATACAATACTTTAAAAAATAAATAAAACACGTAAAAAGAAAGAATAGAAAAAGAAAAAATGTATATAAACATTTTTTACAAAATGATAAATAAAAAAAATTCAACTTCTAAGGAATTTACAAATTTTCCACAAGCACCCGATAAAACGTCACTGATATTTATAAAGAACAAAATATATATATATGTATATATATATATACTTATATACACGTATAAAAAATGTAAATAAGTACATGAACATATATTTAATGTTTCGCAATTTTCTCTTTAGCTCAAAAACATTTTCATGCGTTTAACAAAGTAAAATTCACGATGTTTGATTAATTCATTTGGTAAAGGAAAAAACAGAATAGTAATTTCTTTCCTGCCTCCTGCGTTCATTCCCATTCCTTGTGTTTGTTTTTTACATGTATATTATCAAACGCGCCAAACGGCACATGTACTGCTGGCACCGGGACATGCACAAAAAAGTATAGGAACCCTGAATGACAAATTTGCAAAAGGGTAAGAAAAAATTACGTTTACAATGTTCTTAATTTTTTAAAAAAAACACAATGTAGTGTGCAAAAAAATGTTATTTAGCCTAAGGAACGAGATATGAAAAAAAAACAAAAAAAAAAACACAACATTATATAGTAACTAAGGTGCAGTAAAACACTGAGCTAATTTTTAACAGGGATACATCAAAGCACTTGAACACGCACTACTGCAACTTTATTAGTATTAGGAGGGTCGCTAGCAATGCCAACAATGGCATAATGCTCACTAAAGGATCAATAGCGCACACTGCACCCCCTGCTAACACTGACAATAATATTACCACGTGGGGGGATTATCAAAATAATAATCAAATTGAACAATTATCCTCAAAGTTGGGAAAAATAACAAATTTGGTAGACTTGCCAAGGTCGATGATCCCCATAAATATACACACCTGTGATAATGGCCGCCACTGCGGCAGTTATGTTTCCATTGATAATCATTAAAATAAAAATCGAGAACAAAAAAAAAAAGTAATAATTATTGGAGCGACAGTTCCCAGTGCCAAGTGAAAAATGGAGTGCCGAGCGAAAGTGAAATTGTTACTTAAACATTCATTTTGTTTACCTTCCTTGTTCATTTGTTTATTTTATGTTATGTTATGTTTTTGACTTTGCATATCGGACACACAATTGGGTAAGAAATTTTATGCATTACAGAGGATTGACGTGAAAATTGCAAATTTTGGCTAAACTGTGAAAAAAAGTGGAAATGATGGAAATTTGGGCATAATTGTACGAAACGGGGCCAAATGCGATGTGCGCAGGGGGTTGGGGGGAAACACATGAGGAGAATAAGCGTAATGAGGAAATACACGAAAAAGGCGGAAAGGATGCAATTTGCATAACGCTAAATGTAAAATTGAGAACAAAAAAAATTAATTACGAATTAGTACTTTAGAAATGCAAAATGAATTTGTTTGCAGAAACTCTAAATGCAAAAGTTTGCCAAAATTACCCATCTGCGAATGCGCAATTCATTAAATTCCCCCATTCCTTAGCGCAAAAATGAATTAAATTAGAGTCACTTGTGCAGATTTCATCAAATGCTCCGAGTTCGCCACATTCACCATTCGCTTTTTTCACGCATTGCACATAAAAGGAGCAAAAGACATGAGGTTTAGCCAATTCGTGTGAAATACAAGGAACTTTTCCCCTACTTAATTTGGTAACAATTCGAATAAACACCTTTGGGAAATATTTCATCTAGGTTAGTTTCTGCTAAGTATTATTATCATGTGGTATATTTTCCGCCTTTATGGTTTTTCACGAAAACGTGGAAAATATTTTAGCATAACTAATATGTACAAACAAAAAACAAAAGAAATTACTAAAAAGGGTGAAAAAAGAAAGTCCCTAAAGTGTGCATTGGAAACGTTTCAATTATAAAAAGAGATCGAATGCATGAATATATATGTACGAACAAATTAACAATGTGTGTTCTGAGACGTTTTCATTTTTATTTATGTTCATTCCACCAAATGGGTGCGCGTATGCGGATAACCTGTTAGGGCGGGGTTTTAAATGGTCACAAGTAATATGCACCCTCTCTGGGATGAAGTGAAAATTGAAAAAAAACATTCCGGTAAAAATAGCAATGCGCTTAATTCAGTAGTTTATTTAAAAAAAAAAAACAAAAAAAAAAAACATTTTAAGAACATTACATCGTGCAACGAATATAGGGCATAATATAGTAGTAAAAAAAATTAAAAAAAAAGATAGTAAAATAAATGATTTTTTCCAAGAAAAAAGACCATGTAAAAGAAAAAGAAAAAAGGATAAAACGTAAATTTTTGCCATCCCCAAATGCACACTCATACGCTCGCGTGATACGCGTTCGGCATATGCAAATTACTTTTTGTTCTACACATTGAGAATAATTCTTTTTTTTTTTTGTGCTTTTCATGCAGAAAAAAATGGAATACATCGTAAATATGTTAAAAAGATTTTACGCCCATTTGTAAAAAGCTTTAGAAAAATTTTACCTGCGTTTTTATTCCTCAAAAAATACGGAGGAATCTCTATTTCTTCTTCGCACAAACGTTCTTTTTTTTTGTTTTTTAAGCCCATATTTTAGAAGTGCTGCGTCATCATGCGCGTACTTTGTGTATAATGTGTATTATGTGTAGAGTTTCTCCCATCCCTGGACCTTATTGCTTCAAATAAAAATGTCACTTTGACGTGAGTGTTTATATTTCAAATTTGTCCCTTTTTCGGTAGGGCTATGATTGTAAATTTTTGGAATTGTACGAAAAAAAAATGAGGGACCGGGGTGGAGGTGCGAAGGAAAAAAAACACAAATATGAACAACAAACGACAAAAAAAAAAAAAAATACACTGAGTGAAAAATAAATATTAAAATCATATCTCCCTATAAAATGTAAAAGGCGCAAAATGCATGGTCTTTAGAACGAATTTTCAGCTTTTTCAGCTTGTTTAGAATTTTACACCTCTCAATAAATCATGCTATTGCGCCATGCTGTGCGCCGCGTAGTAACGGCAGACAAGCGACACGCCCAACACTGTGTAACGTCAAAATCGTTGCTTCTTCTTCTTTGTGGAATTTTCCTCCTGCGAATGTTTCTGTCTTTTGCTGACACTGTTATTGTTGCTAGCACTTTCACAAGTGCTTCTCCTCTTTCGTCTTTCAATTTTTAATTCGTAGGAACAATTGTTTAATTTTAAGTCCTTTTTAAATTCGGGGTTGAATACCTCCTTAAACGTAGTCGCTAATGGATATTCCACACTATTTGTTGACTGTTTTAGCAATTCTTGGAATAGGAAGCACGGCGTCATCCATTCTGTGTCCCCATCATCATACGTAACAACGAAAAATGGGCTGCCATTTTCGTCCTTTGTTTGCTCCATAACTGTCCCTACATAAGTTCCATTTGTAAATTCCCTCTGAATTTTTGTTTTCCCAAGTTGAACTCCCATGAGTGGAATGAAATTACTCGCTTTGGGAATACTTTCCCATGTGACGTAGTTCCCCTTTTGGTCACTGGGAACCTCCTTTGTATCGCCAAAATATTCGCCTGCAAAATAGATGTGATCTTTGTCCTTCTTCTTATTCTCATCTTTGCTACGGTGCGCACGTTGCTCGGGATGCGGGTCAACGTACGGATCCTTGTAGTAATCTCTACATGGATCACCACCCGGCTGCTGATCTGTCCCGCCCCGACCTGTGCAAATACCACTGTTGCTTCTCCCTTTACGTGTTTCCCGCTCGTTTATATTTTCCGATTTATGCGTTCCCCCATTTAAAGAATCGTCATGTTCTCCACCGATCACGTTGTTAGACGGCTTCGTACGAAGCTTCGATTTCTTCCTACTGCTACCTTTGTCATCTTCTTCATGAGGGCGTTTATTCTGCGTGGAATTCATTTCCCCGCTCTTACACGCATAATCGTCCGTATAACTCATTTTATTTTCCGATAACAAGGTGGGTGTATTATTTTCAACGTGTTTATTTGTATCCCCTTGACGCCTGTCAATATATGGAAGGTTGCTCCTCAAGTCATAAAATGGTTTCTGCGATGGACGTTTTAGGCTAGAACTGACTAGGTCCTCCATTTTTGTCGGACTAGGGATGGAACTGGGTGAATGAACTTCTGCGCCGATGTCGTTATGGTCGTCAGCTAATGGGGCTGCCGCGCTGTTGACGTTGATCTCGCCACGACTACTGCCGCAACTTCCACCAACGCTGCTACAACTGCCGATGCTCCAGCTCCTATAGCCGCTACTCCCACTGCGCTCCACCTGCTGTACGTAGGCCCCGCTCAGTTCCCTCTTTCTGTACTCCTTTATGGTGTTGGCCAATTCGCGAATGATTGACTGAACGCATTCGCTAGACGTTTTAAACATGTCTTCTTCGCTCAACCCATCATTGTAGTTAGCCTCAAAATGCATCTTGGTAACTCTACATATAATGGCCTTAGCCAAGTCATTATGCTTGCTATAACAAACGGTACACACAGAAAGCCTTTTTAGGTGATCGCTTAGGGGAAGACATGGCTGGTTGGTGCTCATTCCCTTTTCGAAATCTGTTAACAAGGGGAACCCTAAGATCTTCTTGCTCAACTTCATCATGTTGTTGAAGCAGAGGTTTTTGTTGCCACCCATGTTGCTGCTGCTGGATGGTGGACAATTATTTGCATCGCTTTTTATACCGCCAACGGGGGCACTGTTTTTTATTTCTTTTAATTTCTTCATGACATCGTTTGATTTGTTATACAAAATATTTTCGTACGAGTTGGAAACGCTGTCATTGTTGTGTTCGGTACAGCCTGAACCGTGGCTTTCGCCCCTACTACAACATGGGTCACATTTTTGTATTCCGACGTCATGCTCCTGTGGCAATTCCTCCTTGAGCCCCTTCATTGTAGTGTCCCTTTCCGAATGCTGAATCTCCTCATGTGGAAACACAATGGGAGTGCCTTGTTCTATCGAGTCGACCAACTTTTCTATACATTTCCTATTTTCTAGCAAGTAGTTTATGGTTTTTTTCCTTAACTGCATAGTTTTCTTGGCCTTTTCGTCATTCACAAAGCTGTTAACCTTCTCCCTGCTTACTAGTAAATCATCTATTTTTTTTTTATACTCAACAAGAAGGTGCAGCTCAAAGCTGTTTTGCAGCAGAAACTTCATTTCGTCATTCTTAAGGGACAAAATTTCTCCCTCTTCTGTGTTATCTAGAGAGTTCATTTCCTTTTCGGTGCTGTCTAAGTAAGAGTTAATTATATCTTTATTCCTCACCAAGTCCATAATATTTTCCCTACAACGTAGTAATTTCCGTATTTTGTCATACTGCTGAGTACAGTTTGGATTTCTACTCACTCCTTTTGTGTCTATCCCGTCAGTGAGACATAAGGGGGAGGTATCATTTGCTAGTGGAGCTAACAACGTGGATAACTTGTTTGAATTTTCTAAACACATATCATCACTAAAAAGCTCGATTAATTGTTTGTGGTTTTCCATTTCTAGGAAGGCCAAGAATTCTTCCTGATTTAACACATTGATGCAGAACTTGACACAATTTGCGCAGAACCAATCGTAATTCTCGTTCACTTCTGCATATAATTTTTGCACACATGTTAGGTGATAAATATGATTACAACCTGAACAAGTAATAAACTCGTTACTACTATCTGTGTTGACGCTGTGCATGCATATATTGCACGTGGTGTGATTTTTTATCAAGTTGTACTCTTCCACTATGTCATCTATTCCACTCAGCATTTTTTCTTTACAAAGATTTAATTTGCTCAATCTGTATGCATAGCTATTTTTAATAAACACATTCAGACAAATATCGTTAACCTTTTCGAACCATTCAAAGCCAAAATCAGCGACAAGTTCTTCTCCTGTATTTATTTCTACTCCTGGGATGGATGTAAGAATGATATGTGGCCATCCATCAAGGTAAACCAATTGCCACTCAGCATTTATCCTAAAATCGTAATTGTTAAAAATGGCACATGTTTTGTAATGATTAACTAGCGACATTTCGTTGAACATGTAAGACGAATCTACAGCGTATGTGTAATTATCTGGCAGGATAATCTTATTATTCATCCCTTTAGATTTCTTCTTCTCTTTGGTGTAACTCTGTGTCGATTTTTCACATTGTGGTGTAGCAGAATTGGGGGTGGGACTTCCTCTCCATTTTGTATTCATACCACCATTCCTAAGAGCTGCTTCTTGACAAATGTGCTCATCGTTCAAACAGGTTCCTTCGTTACTCATCCTTGTCGCATATTCGCAATTGTTGTTGCTATCACCATGGACGATGCTTCCATTGGCTTCTTCCCCGTGGTAGCTGTCCCCTTTCAGCGCACTCTCCTCATCTGACTCAACCTCGTTAATAAAAAGGACATTCTTTCTATCGTTAAAAACCTTCTTGCTAAAGGATAGGGAGAACATATATTGGTGCTTGTCCTGTGACAGCTCCCTGTTGTTGGCCACATAACCAGTGTACTCGCCAAAAATGACCCGATCATCCGATGCGAGCACTTTTTTCCCTGTGTAAACGAGTGAATAGCAATCTTCATAATACGGAGTACACAACCGGACAGGATGCTTGTGGTCTTTCAACTCGACAATTCTAACAGATGGATGGATCCTCCCATGTAACAAAGTGTCGTATATTTCTTCGTACATTCTTCTATGTCTATTTTTATATATAATATTATGGTGGTTATCAAAAAAGGGGGCATGGATAAATGGAGTCCACTGAGTTCTATTATTAGACCAACCACAACCATAATATCCGGACTTTGAGTTATAAAATTTTTTCATTTTGTGACTGAAATAAGCTCTCTCAATTTTTGAGTCATTCGACAATACTTGCGTTTTTACATGTCTTTTATTTCTTCTTTTTGCTACCTCTTCTATTTTGCATATAATCATTTTTTTCTCTTCTAAGCTTTTCCTTATTGTATCCATTCTTATCTTTTCTTGGTGTTTTTCTTGACATTTCTCTTTGTATTTTTCCTCAATTTTTTGTTCCTTTTCCTTTTTTTCCGATGCATCCATTGCATTTCCGTTTAGTATATTGAGATCGATGACTATTTTTCCTTCTTGTTGCATTTTTGTCTTCTTCTTTGTTAGGTACCTTTTATAATTCGAATCATCTGTGGAGTAGGACGCATCGTCGCTTGCGTTGAAGTCGTAGTTCTCTTCCCCATTGGATGCGTTTTTCACGAGGGACGTTTTTTGATACACGTCATATTGGTAACTCTCCCTATCCGCCTCATCTGAAGCGGCGTCTTTCGAGTTTGGTTCTTCATCCCCCGTGGAAATCTTCGTTTCGGCTGAGCATATGACATGCTTCTCTGTTAAGCTGCCCTGTTTCCCCTCTCCATTCAACTTTTTATCCCATTCGGGTTGTTGCACGGCTCCACTTTGAATAGACTGATGGGGAGTTTCATTCCCCTGCACAATCACTTCCATTGTGGGGGTATCTGTTTGGGCCTCTTCACATTGGAAACAATACACATCGGGTTTACTGGTCTCCCTAGGATCATCCCCCGACACGGCCACCCTGCTTACGCCCGCATCAATCGAGATCACCATATCATCTGGGTCCTTTTTCTTGACTGAGCCCGATTTCTTACTCGAACTTGTGGTGTATTTTTTTTTCGCGCCGGTTTGGGCCTTTTGTACTTGCCTTTCCCTGTTCTTACTTAGAAATATGTTTCCTGCAGGTCGGTTCTTTTGCATCAAATTACTTGTCATGGAGTTATTTTTCAAGTTGGTCATTTTTTCACTATGCACATTTTTGCGTGCACTTTTTGCTTCTTCGTCATTGGGAAAATCGTTGGCGGAATCGCTAAAATGCTTTAATTCGTGTTTATCGAAAAAGTCTGATCTTTTGTAATGCTTGTCATCCTCGAAGGAGTTACTTCGGTTTATTTCTTGGTGATGACTACTGGAGTGTTTATCCCCGTTAATGGAAAAGTCTTTACTACCTATATGTTGGGTGCTACTATGGGAGAGGTATTCTCTGTCATTTTTTCCATTTTGCATATCCTTCGAATGACCCAAAATGGTTTTAATAATTTTTTCATTTGACTTCCTAGTTATGGAGGCTAACTTGGTTTTGTATCTGCTGACGGCTATTATTCCGTCCCTAAAGTTGGGAGGATTCACATGACTACTTTTTTGATTCTCACTAAGTAAGTCGTTTTCCATTTTCTCTTCCACTTCTTCTGTGATGTACATGTTATCCTGTAGATACATTTTCCTCTTTCGATTATTTTGATCATCCACATATATATGTAGTACACTCTTTAGGCACTTAAAACAGTGGAAGATATTTTCCGGTGTTTTTCCATCATTTATTCTGTCCTTATTTAGTCTTTCTTTACTTAAAAAAAAGGAGACATACTTATACAAGTTTGAATTTCTTCTAATTCTTAATCCATTCATAACTTCTATTTTCCCTTGTTCTGATAGAAATGGTTTGTAGTTCGCCCTACCTAGAGCATTGCATATGTCTAAGAAAAAATCGACCCCATATGTTTCCACATTATAATGGTATTCAAATTTTTTACCTTTATATTCTTCCATTTTTTTTTTTGATTCATCACATGTACAGTTAATTTTGTTTACATCGATCACCTTCCTTATGTCTTCGTCAATCTCGAATTTCATATGTTCCTTTTCTTCCTCGATTTCGTTCCATATTTCTTTGTCTGTTTTTTCACTAAGCTTTAGCATGCTGGCCAAGTTGCTTAAAATTTTCGATTCGTACTTTATTGGCGAGATACTCATGTTGGAACTTACCAGGACTGAATATAGATGAGGTGTTTGAAGAAGGCAGAAAAAGTAGAGTAGCGAAAGAGCTAAACTCGTCAGGCTAGCTTCTACACGTGCATACATTATACGCACATGTGCATATGCCTCTGTGTGCGATGGCCGAGGGTACGTGCTTCCTCTTCTGATAGCACCTATGATCCAGCTTTAATCCCCTTGCACCACATACACGAAGAACGCAAAAAGAGCAAACAAACAAGGGTGGGACGATATCATTTAGGGAGTAAACAGTACTTGATTATCCATTCATCAACTAAGACAAATGAAGGTTGATATGAGCATATATTCAATTAAACTCGTTTCAAATGCAAAATAGGACAATCTTGTCTCCCCAGATAATTCATGCTGAATATGTCCGGGTTCTGTCTCGAATATATTTCTTGAATGGGAGAAAGGGGGGTCTTCTATCTCGCACTCGTTTACATAAACATTTGAGGACACAAACAATTGTTTTTATTCAAATAAAAAGGGGTAGGGGGTGAATGGGATATTACACATGCATTCCCATGGGAAGAAAAAAAAAAGAAAAATTACTTAATCAATAACCTTAGGAGGAGACTTAGCAAGATGCAAATGTTGTGAATGTGAGGTACTCTCCCCCCGCGAGGTGACTGAGTAAATGCGAAAAGGATAGCACCCCACACAACTATCACCTTTTTGTGAATGCGTGACACGTTACATAAATGTATGATCAGGCATATACAGAAATATGAAAACAAAATAATTAAAAGGGGGAGTTAAAATGGTTGCATGAGCAAATAGCTACATATGTTAAGGCTCACTACATAAACATTTTGAGAGACAAACAGGAGGTTTATTTTAATTAATTCCTAGTTGCCACTTATGAAATGAGAAAAAAGAGCAAAAAATAAAAACGTGCACATATAAATATGTTATGTAATGTGAAAGTGAAAAGATGAAAAAAAACAAACATTCTTCTTTACTGAACTCAAATTTTATTCAATTCATGCATACATAACATTCATGAGAGAAATGTAAAAGAGATACAACAAATGTGGTGAAACTGTTTCGATTCCATGAAGAACATTTTGGGATACGTATTGACACATTTGGTGAGACGTGAAAACGGTGGTGGTGGTTGCAGGGGGAGAGGGAGAGACACGCGAATTGCATCAAAATGTTATCAGTAGCAATATGCTTCAATACACCTTGCTGTGATTACGTACACGTGTATTTGCATATTAGCACGTTGGCACCGACGTTCGTTCACCTGTACGTACGTGGGGGGCTGTTTGGGGCATGAGGCCTATTTTGTACACTGTAAATGGGAAAGCGCAACGCGCGCTAAGCAAGCACGTGTAACAAGAGAGGGAAACAAATTTATAAACAATTTAATTAAAAATTCGAGGTGTCCATTTTTTTTTTTTTTTACGCAGTAAAAGATATGCATTTTTGTGTTACGCGTATAAATACACTTACTATATGCTGCGCGTCAAATGAGATATTTTTTGCCCCAATGTATTTTTTTAATGATTAGAGCAACACACTGCATTTATTTTTGGCGATGCTTCCATTCTGTTTCTGATCTCTTCGCTTTGCGTTTAAAACTTTTTGCGAAAGGGAGTAGTTGCAGGTATATTGTACAAACGGAAGCATAGTGTACACATAAACGTGCGTGTGAGCACTCGCGTATATGCATACAAGTCAAGGATAGTGCTTGCACTTGCTGTTTGCCTTCTTATGTACCATAGGGGCAAACGCAGAATTGCATGATTATGTGTGAAATTTTATTTTCACACAAGTGTAGCAATTCAGGGTATTTTGCATTCAATACATTAGTATTTTCTTTATACATATGTATATATGATGTATATATATACATATATACATGTATTTTTTTGGGCCACCCACCTTATGGAGATAGTTCCTCACTAAATCTGTATTCCAGTAAATTAAGGCCAAGCGCGCGCAAGAAATATTTTAAATCGGTTAAATAGAAAAGGGGGGTAGAGGAAAAAAAAAAAAAAAAAATAGCAATTTTGAACAACTGTGTATTTTTGTTTTTTGTTTTTCCTCTTGTATAGTTCACACATAAAGCAAAGTGGACTTAACTAATTTCCCTTTAGCATGTTAGTGCAGCTTTAACAATTTGTTGTGAAAAAACATAGGGCTAGCCTTTTTGGGTTAGAGCAAAATAACAATGTAGAACAGGCGGTGGATTGGGGTCTCCCAGTTGCACACATTTGTGAGATGAAAGAAAAAACAAGAAAGGAAAAGTTAATATTGTACACATGAGAAAACGCGGTTGGGAATTATTCCTAGTACACCATCTAAGCGACGTCACATTTTAATGTTAATTAATAATGGGGGAATAACTCGCAACAGGTTTATAAGGAAAAAAAAAAAAAAAAAAAAAATAGCACATATTATACTGGCACCATGCTTCGATAATTCATTCCAATATGATTTTTTGAGAAAATAAAAAAAAAAAAAAACCTACACAGTTGCGTTATTTTGTAATAAATAATTATTCCTTTTCGGGCAAATTAATTATTGCGCCATTGTTGTGTAGAAGGTTTTTTTTTTTTTTTTCTTTGCGAAAGTACATGCATTTTTAAAAATTGAACACACTTTTGAGCACTTGTCGCACCCTCGGCTTTGTGCACATATTGCAGTGGGCACCGTACCGTTTTGTGCGAGGCAACATGGCAAAGGGTAAAAATCAAAACGGGATAATTTTAGGCCAGCATAGAAGGCACATTTCTTTCCTTGCGCTCCATTTACTATCCAAATGATAATACTAAAATAAGAAAAGGGAAGTTGTTTCCTTCCCCTTGAAAGCGGATAGGTAACCTATAGGGACCTACGAAAACATAAGTATGCATGTGTATACCCTTTTTTTTTTGCATCCTCCAATGAGCCAAATTAACTGATTGGGGTTAATCGCCACGCGTACAAATTGCCCAAACTGTAGGCACACAATTACCATGCGTCACTTTAACAGAAAAATGAATACTTATCAAAAAAAAAAAAAAAAAGAACTGCATATTTTACAAGTACCACGCAATGCACATTTGTGTCTAATCTGTTCTAACCTTCACCTCCACCTATAGAACTTGTGCGGACTTTTGAGAAGTGCCATTTTGTTAGGCGTCACGGGGGAAAATATTACAAGTAGGGAATTAGTGTATCCCACTATTGTCTTACAGCTTCTTCATATCTAAAATGTGCAACGTTTTCCTGTACTCATGTGCGGATAGGAGTAATACACACAATTTTATTTATTTAAATTTTTCCATTTCCACAAAAAATTAGTGATCATACTTGTTACACTGTAATTTTTTTTTTAAAATGAATTCATAGAAAGGAACCATCAAGCAGGTTGGAAGTTATGACAAGGAATAGTAGTAACTGTTACATTATAGTAAAAATTTTGAAACGTATGGACGATTTAATTGTTCCTAACTGTGTCCAATTTTCGTACTTGCTCTTTTTCATGTACGTACACTCCTCGGTTATTTGCAAGGTGGGGACGACAAAAAAAAAAAAAAAAAAAAAAAATTGTAGAACAGGCAGAATGGCTGAAAAATAGCCACAGTGGCATAAATGACTAGACAATTTTAGTAAAGATTTAAAAAGCGTTTGCTCACATTAAGGTGCACTTGTTAGTAGCCTCTATTACAGGAAAGGACAAAATGTTTTCGTTATCCTCCACAACAAAGTAATGTTTGGAAAAATAATTATCAATGCAAACTTATGATAAATACACCCGCTTGATGCACACCTTTGGTAGGATCCCATAACACTTGGTAGATAAGTAAATAATTATTTTTTTGTTTTCACTTTTTTATTCATTCTATTTTTAACTCTCTTTGTCCATTGTGCGAATTATTCCACTTTTTAAAAGAAATGATGAAGCGTGCTGTTTTTCTGCTTCTCTTTCTTTTCTTCTCTTTTGAGACCCTCTTCGGTCAAACTGGTGAACAAAGTGTGAAGGGGCTGCACCCGAGGGACTCGAGTAAGTTAGCATAATGAGTTCTCCGTAAGCACCTTTAAATAGCTATATGCACCCTTTGCTGCGATTGTTAGTTGGTACTATCACTCCGCGCTACAAGGGCACCCCGGGGTGCCTGATGTTGCGGACAATAGGGCAATTAACGAACTTTTGGAAAATAGGCAAATTGGAAAAGCTGCAAGGTGGCAATGTGGCAAAATTCACAGCGCTGATAGAAACCTTCCTCTAATCATCACGCGCAAAATAATTTCACATCCCCCGCGCTTGCTCTCTTCAGCGCTCAATCATTTTTATATGTCCCTACACACCCGGCGCCCCATTATTCCCCCTACACTTAGTTTTTTCCCCGAAGGTTTTCGTAGCAGTTAACAGACCCCGCACGATAAATGATGGGGCCGATGTGGTCGTAAGTTATTTCAAGCCAACTGTGTTACGCGGTTTGGCCACATGGTGACAACACATTTCTTCGTCCCAAACGAGTGCAGCAACCAAGGGAATATGATTCACCTAGAAATTTTCAACCTTGAACTTGGCAGCGTGCAAAGCAGAGCGAGTACCACAATGTTGTCGACACCGGTAGGGTTTAACACTGCACACCCGTAAAAGGAGTTACATGTTTTCATATACTTTGTGAGGGTAATAATCTCCACAAATCTCTAAATGCACCTTCACCTTTATCTTTGCTTTAATGTTCACCTGTCTCATAATAGCGGAGGAGCTATTGCGTATTATTGCTGAGAACACACATGTAATAAAAGATAAAAAAAAAAAAAAAAAAACGAGCGGTGAAGGGGGCTGTCAACGCTAGATCAGGAGGACACACCGGTCATCGACAAAAACAATAAAAAAGCGACATGTGTAATAAATCACGCGCTTTTATTTGTGAAAAAAAACTAATTAACGGTAACGATGGTCATATCGTGACCATGGTGATAATTCTACACCCTCGCACCGCTCCAGATGCTACTAGGACAAGAAACCCCCAACAAGCACGGACTTAAAGCTGAATCCGAAATTATAAATGCAAACGACGAAAATGTTTTAAATTTGCTCTTAAACAGCAAAGAAAAGGAATCCCAAAGGGAAAGGAAGTATTCGGCCCCAGTTATACTAGTTCTTCCGCAGCCCTTAACCAGACAGTAAGCGGGAAAAACAGGAAATATATAAAATGATGCGATTTTCCATTAAAGCGTTGAAAACTAGTGTAACGGTTTATGCCCATCTTTGGTGCCACACATTTTCTTGAATCCCTTTTTTGGAGAAATGCAAAAAAAAAAAAAATAACAACAAATTATTCATATGCCCCCACTACATGAAGGGAGTTATTTTACTACGAGAAATATAAGCATTTTGCTGAGGACATTAAACACACTAAGCCTTTACTATTAAGAGTTTCCCATTTTGCGAAATTGGCAGGTAGAATTACGTAACCTCCTTCTACACCACATCTCATTTGTGACAATTAAATAAGCAGATGAGACTAATGTAATTTTTTAATTCCTCCTCCAATGATGCACATGCAACTTATGTGCACAGCAGAATATTTGAATGCTCAGTTAACATTCCACATTCACCATTCATTTGGTTTGTTCCATCATTCTTCTTTCGGCTGCCCTGACCCAAAATGGTGACACACCTCCAGATTAATGAACTTGTTAAAAATTTCGTCCTACAGAAATTAAAAGCAAGAATAAGGCAGAGGCCGTTGAAGAGCTAGCCGTCGCGGAAAAAATGGTGGAAACGGTAGATCCTTATAAGAGTTCCGAAATGACACTAACTTAGTACCAACTACTTAGCAATAGCTTTGTAGTGCAAACAAAAAAAAAAAAAAAAAAAAACTTGACATCAATGCACTTTTGCGACCACTCACCCACTTCTGTTTGCACCGCTTATGCCTGTTTCTTCAAATGATCCCTTCGCGAAGTTGTGACCAAATATTTCTCACAACTTCATGTACCATGCGGGTGCTCATTTTCATATGCACATATGTGTACGTGTACATTTTCTCAAGTGCACCTCCAGGATGAATGTCATTAACGAAGCGCTGGAGGAAATATCACTAGGCACATCCACACGGGAAGACGTAAAATATCCAGCGACAATTTAATACATATGAAATGGAAAAAAAATATGTTGTCAGCACAGCAGCGACAGAGAGGGATTACCATTCTACACATGTGCATGTGACCACACATACGCAGTGATGCTAACAGTTGTAACGGCCGTGCATCCGTACCTATGCATGCTTATACCTAGACATGTCAACACATGCGTGCACTTTTACGCATCCCCCTGCACCACGCAGAAAAACACAAAACGGCTTAAGGACGAACGAACCTTCTTAAACCAGAAGAGACGCGTTTTGGTATGCTATGAAATGTGCTTCAGGGCAAAGCAAAGATATGGTTTAATTGTAGGGAATCTTTACACATGGTTACAATTTTCTTTTTTTTTTCCTTTCCCTTGTAGAATCAAAAAATAAAAAAATTGCGATTAATAAATTAGCGGTAAAAAGGGTCTTCCTAAATATCGTGGAAGAACTCCAAACGCGTTAATTGCCACTTTGGGGAGGGTCATACCAAATGACAATAATTAAAAAAAAAAAAAAAAAATTATGTGCAACATTTATGTAAAGCTTGTAACCATTCGGATAGTGCCTACGCACAAATGCGCGGTGGCCACTTTATATATTGGCACTTTTAAAGAAGCATATTTGTGGACAAGTCACCTTTTTGTTTTTATTTTAAAATTTTTTCTGGCAAAAAATTAAAGCGGGTTTTTGACAACCTGTTCTGAGCAGTGCGCGCAAGTAAGCAAGTGCATAACGTGTTATTATCCACGCATGTTTCCACGTTTGCAAATATATATACGCATACTTGTGCATTACGCATATACGCGGCTTCTTCCTTTCCGACTTCGCTACGGGCAGGCTTAAAATAGGTCATGCACAAATAACGCTGCCCCTTTTTTCGCAACATTTTTTTTTTTCTTTATGGGATTATTTTCCTGCGTTGTTAAGAATTGTATTATGTACTAAATATGATACATTAATTTTCTCACGAATTGCAAAGATGATTTGTTAACTTTTAAAAAATTATCTATCGTACTCGCAAAAAGCAATTTTCCTTTTTTTTTTTCCTGTATGCCTATTGGCTTATTTTCCCTCAATTTTTTCATTACCAAGTCCCATTTTTGTGACATACCTTAATAGAATATAACCCCCAAGAGGATACCTCCCATCACTTAAAACGGACATGAGTCAACATGCCTCTCAACGTTGTAACCCCAGCTGGTATACTACATTTATCAGTATACTTTTCCACCGTTGCTTCGTTTTATTGAATGCATACTTTAGCCAATTCGTTGCGTGGGGAAAAGCAAAAGAGCTGGTCGTCTGAGCGAACGTTAACTGTGTTTAGTCTGTAGACGGTCAAACAGATTAAAACAACATCTTTTGACCTCTCCGCCGTGGCTTCCGCTAATTGTCAAATCACTTCCCCCCCTTTTGTTTTTTTTTTTTTTGTGCAGAACCGAAGGACCCTTCGAATATTTACAAGTTTAATTTAAATGAAACTTACTCTGGAGACGTGGAAGGAATTCTCGTTTTATGCCTTTTAGCAATTCTTCTTGGCATATTTTTCAAGGTTCGTTGGGACACTTCAAAAGGGATAAAAAAAAATGTTCCACATGAGCATTGCCCCCGGGCTTCAGCAGACGAGCTAATCTTCACGCACCATTGCATGCATATTCAGACACGTACATATGCAAACATCTACTTGTTTATTTGCTTCCCATCATCCTGTTTCTTCTTTTTTGCCCTACCCTTCAGGTCATCGAAATCATTTTTGTTGTCATTTTCGTGCTGATTTCAATATACCTAACCGCGCGGAATGGAGAAATAAACATCATGTCGATCATGCCGATGATAATGTAAGTCTTTTTACGAACCAGTTTGAAAGAGCAGCGACACTCTGATCAATGTTTACCGCCATCTGGTGGTGCCACTGTGAGCCATCACTATACTGCACTGCGGAGCGCTCATGTCTTTTTGCATGTTCCTTTCCCTCCTCAGAATGGTCGTGATGACGTCGGGCATGACATGGCTTCAGCAAAAGACTCTTAACAAAAGACAACTGAGCAAGTTCGAGATTTGATGCTGTTCTTCGGAGGCTCACCCTGCAACAGACATGTTCTTTTTTTCCTCCACCGTATGTTTTGTTTTGTTTTTTTTTTCGTTACCATAGATACTTTCTCCATGAACTTTACTGATTTGTTAAAAATTATATGACAAGTAGGTTTTTTTTTATAAAAAAGTTCTTTTTAATTGTCGCCTTTTTTTTTCGTGAGAGTGGGTCAAGGTGTATACAAGTCCACATATATTTGGTCCCCGTTCATCTCATGTCGGCACTCCCGCAAAATCACAACCATGATAGCGCGTATGACTAGCCCCTTCTAATAATGATGTTAAAGCGAATGGGCAAAGGTTGAGTTACCCACGTCCAAATTGGGGCACAAATGTTTTCTTCCTCTCTGACTTAGAGTGCCACAATTCTCCCTCAATGTCGTACAGAGGAAACATATTTTTCAAACTGCTATTTCGCTTCATGTTGGAAGACGTAACGTTTCGGAAATGTCCTTTCGATAAAGTCAAGTTATTCTTCATTTTTACAGGTTGCATGACGGCGTTTTTTTTTTTGGTCGCTAGGGCAAGGTCATCCGATTGAACTGAGTCAAAAGAGGTGCGCTCCTCTTTACTGACTTCATCATAATGGATCAACTTATTGTACATTAGTTTGCTTTTTAAAAAGTTACTCTTACCACTCGTGGTACGGTTAGTACTTCCATTAGTATTACCATTAGCAGCTTTATGATTAACGTCTTCTTCACGCAGTTTTTTCACACTGTGTTCTCGAGCTTTGTTCATCTTCTTTTTCGTTTCATTCGATTCGATATATTCAAATGACAGGTCCGTGTGAACATTTCCGATTTTTGAACTTTCAGAAAGCAACTTATTCATGTTACTGTCAATATTCTGTTCAGGTTTTTCCTTTTTCTTTTTTAATTTATCACATGTTGTTCCTTTTTCACTGCTCGTGTACCCTCCCACGATGTCTTCCCCGAATAGGTTCAAGTCATCTGAGCAGGCTATTCTTATTCTGTTTTTTTTTTTTATCTTTATGCTTTTTTTCTTCCAATTTTTGAAGTCTTCATTTCGCTTCATAACTAGTATGTAATTTCTGTGAAATAGGATCGCCCCAAAAAAAAAAGAAAAAAAAGCATTATACAAATGACTGGTAATCATATGTGCATGTCAGCTGATTATGAGATATGCTAATAAGTATGTCTAACACGAATTACAACATCCACACACAGAGTCTCTTTTTCAAAAAATGGTGTATTACAATACAATCTCTAGGAATGCCTCCCTTTCTTCCAGCTGTGGGTACAGGTGTTTCCCTAATCTGCTGAGGAACTACAAAAAGGGGGGGGGTTATTTCATTTCGTTTAGCTTAATTTCGTTTTGTCTACAGGTGATCATTTCTCACGCGTAAGATAAGCACATGGAAACGAATCAAAACAGATCGAATAAGACCGAAACACCTGCGTCGTGTGTTCTCCTATTACAAATTCGCTGGGTCATCCTTACCAGTTTGAAGTAAAAGTACGTCAGTACGCCCTCTCCAAGGTTAGCCTGTTCTACATGCGCCCGTTTATACAAAACTACGAAGAGGAAAGGTGGGACAACTTGTACCATCTTTTACTAAAGCGTGTAATTTCAGGTAGTCAGTAAGCATCATAGTAATATAATTGTTGAGTCACCAAAATGATGTTTCCATTATGCTAAGCGTGCGCATGGGCGATTACCTTCGGTGAACAAGATGTCTGCTGTCCTCACGTCTAAATCCTCTTGCGCTTTGCTTTCCCCATTCTTTCGAAGCAAATAGTAGGTCGCCAAAAAATTAGCACACAGCCTTTTGCTCATTACATACTCTGCAGTTCTGCAACGTGGGGTGGGGAGAAGTTACGACGATGTGGATTTTAAAAATTCTGCTGATACAAAAGTGTAGTGTGTAGAATGTGTGCACACATGACATGTGCTGACGTGCGTTTTTTTTCCATTTTTCATTTTTACTCGCCGCAGTAGGTGCTGTATGTGGAGAAAACTTTGATCAGCGCTGCCTCTTCTTCCCCAGGAAGGACTAGAAGTCCTGCATTTTGCGGCAAAAAAAAAAAAAAAGGCGATGGGGCTAACCATTATGCTATCTGATGCAGTAAAGGAACACGACAAGGAGCAATAGTGAGCGAAATTAATGCATATGTGAGGGATGCAAAATACAGAGGATGACATGCCACGTTTACAACGCTTTGGTAGAGTGCTATATCCGCTCTATTGTTATCACAGTCGGGGGGAATTTTTTGTTTTTTGTTTTTTTTTTTTTTCTTTCCAGTATTGGAGTACACTTAGTGGTGCAGGTCAATGTAGATATATACCACTGTGGAGTTTTTTTCAAATGACCAACTTGAACACATGTGCATGCGACAGTGTATACTCGCGCACGGACAGGGAGATATTTACATGCAATTCTATATGTGGTCTCTTATGGTTAACAACTATCACCTCTCCTCTCTCCCCTCCCCCCATCATTATGCAATGGTTGCGCGCGCTAACTACACCCCCCCTATTATTGGTCTCCAATGAGCACATTTTTAAAAGGACTTACTTTTTAACTTTAAATATTCATTGTCCACAATTTTCCACTTCGTATGTTGCGTGTCTGCAGTGGTTATGTCGTCCTTTTGGGTTGGCTCTTCCTCTCCGTTTTTACAACTTGAGTGAGACTTACTCTTCTTTAAATCCAGCACTTCCTTCTCATTGTGTAATTTTTGGATTTCATTTTTCAGGTTAATAATTTTTACTCTTTCTGCCTCCAATTGGTGTACATTATTTTTGTTCATATGTTCGATAACCTTATTTTTCTCTTCGATGATATTCAACGCATTATTTATTTCTTCCTTCAACCTTTTGTTAATGTCTTCTTTGTGGAAATTTAAATTTTCAATTTCTTTTATTCTTTCCTTTATTTCTTGTTCATCGGAACTTGTAATTTTTTGTGTGTAGGAGGTACTCGTATTGTTAGTTTCATTTGGCACGTCACCGTTCTGCTTTTGCAATTCACTTCCTTGGTTAATGTGCTTTTCCCATAGCGTGTCCTCTGCGTCAAGCGCTGTGCCCACATTTTTTACTTCTACTGCAGTTTCGCAGTACTGGTCAATCATGTCGCAAACAGCGTTGGTGCCTTTGTTTTCTTTCCTCACTGAAACTTGTATGCCTACATCATACTTTTCCTTGTGTGAGCTTATCTTGGAGTTGCATAAAGAAGTCAGATGTTTGATTAGCACGTTAAGCTGTAAAAGCAAGGGTTCAGGGGTGTAGGCCAGATGAGGTAATTTGGAAGGAATGGCGAAGTGGTGTATATGGATATGTGAACAATACTTTATCCGCTTTCCTCCCACGAGAGGGTAGTAGTCAGCCATGTAGCAACAACATCAAGTGTGCCTCCCGTTGTATCTCCCCTCTTTAACCACCACCATTTGTAACACACACAAGTGGACATACCTTTTCCTGCTCGGTCATGATTAATTTGCGAAATAAGTACCCACTCAGTTTTTGTAGTAATTGGAAAAAGAACCTATATTCTGTGATAGGAGGAGGCGGGACAGATATATGAAAAAAGGCATACGTGCATGATGAGGAAGAGATACACTTAATGGGAGAACACCTCCTTCCCCCTCATGAGCACACCGTTGGTAGCACTCAAGGCATGACATAAATAGCCTTAAGTCACTCCTCCACGTTAGTGGGTATACCTATGTAGCCTACGTCGGACGGTTTGGACGACTTGAAAATGTAGTACAAAATATTCTTGTTCCTACTTTTCGGCAGCAAGTTGTATTCGTAGCACTGTAAAGAGGGAGAAAATATATAATGTGATTTATATATGAGATGGTCGTGTCACGAGGGGGGAATCCCAAACGCTTAAATTATCAATACCAAGGGTGACATAAATGGAGTGAGAAAAAAAATCACGCACATGTACACATACACATAGATATACACACATATGTGTAACACCCCGTAACTAGTACATAAATTTGTATGGTTGAGCACCCCCAGCGTGGTGCTGGAAGGTAGTAAGATTCTTTTATGAAAACTGTCCCACTCCATACCATTTTAACAAACTCGTTAACGCCCATGTAGCCATTTATAGAATACTTATTAAAAATATTTTCGAGTGTCCTATTTAGCTCATAACTCAAATACACGGCAGTGCAACCATTCTCTGGGATTAAATATGCCTGGTCGGAAATGTATTTTTGAGTTTTAATTTTTTGCACTGTCCTGAATTTCACTCTAGGAGATATTGGTTCGCCTTCATTTATGCAAGCCATTTTGTTCTATTGACTATGTTGCTGCATGCTCTGTGTTGGCGTCCTCTTCAAAGCTCGGTCTCGTCTTCTCGTTATTGCCTTTAATTTTAATGATAGCTTTAAAAAAAAAATTGCTTAAAAAGAATTAAAACTAATGTTGGTGCAGTGGTAACTCATGTAGTGATATGTCTGCGCACCCACCAAGGGGGGGACTTAAAATGGAGTTAAAAGGGGTAAGCTTGGCGCGACGCGGCACAGTGATGTCACTGATTAGTTGTTATCCTCAAAAAGTAATCTTAACGAAGGAACAATAAAAAAAAAAAGTATGAAACATAAAAAAAGTTAAAAAGTTATTTTTCACCACATGAAGACATGCAAAAAGTGTGCACTAAAATTTGCATGGCCCAGTCATCAATTTTTTTTAAATAAGAGTGTCCTTCCAAATGGTTAACAAAAAAAAAAAAAAAAAAACTTAGGGATGAGCGAAAAAGTGTAAAGAACATGTCCACTTAACAGTGTTGCAAGCGCTGTCTATAAAAGTGCCATTTGTGAACAAAAAAATTTTTAAAGCGTGTATTTAGATATATGCTGTATTATATAAAAAAAAAAAATTTGTCTGTTTATTCATTATTCATTCATTCATTTATGTGAAAGTAAAGAGCTTCGTGATGGCATGTTCATTTAAATGACTCAGCGTTGGAACAGACTTAAAACATGATCCACCTGGAATCACCAGTTTTTCCTTATTCTGGTGTCCTCCATTTTTTTTTGAACTTATGAAGGCAACCTGCAGAAGTGCAATTCGCTCAGAGTCATAGTGATATTTAGTCTTTTTTTTTTTTTTTTTTGAATCCTATAAATTGTGTGAATTGGGAATGTACGCGCATGTTTACATGTGCATTTATATACACACCCATATGTCCTTTTTTTTTTTTTTTTTTTTTCTCATTTTCCCCCCATTTTTGCGACTTCTTAAGTCGTTAACAGTACAGAGTGAGAAAATACAATTTTGTTAATCTGTTTTGTTCCTGTCTCCTTAAAATTGTAATGTAGGAATGGCTGCGCACCGAACTGCACCTTAACGTTAACGTCTGTTTATTCATTTTTTTTGAACCTTTTTTGCCCTTGTTTTTACACCTTTGTATTTTCCTGTGTTCACATGCTTTACGGCTGGAGGTTACGTTTTGTTAAGTTTGGTTTTTTTGTTGTTTTCCTTTTTTTAGAATTATAACATGTTCAGAGCATTGTGTGAAAACGACCTGGTCCAAGAGAAGAAACAATGCAAAAAAAAGCCGTGGCCATGCATAAAGTAAGGTAGAAATGGGATGTATTTACTCATGTCTACCGTTACATGTAGGTAAAGCAAAACAAGTTGGTCAAAAATAAATTGAACTTATACTATAAAATAGGGGGAACCAAAAAAAAAAAAAAACAGAAAAAAAAACGGGAAGGGAAGGGCAGGACGCCAAAGAAAGAAATCTCAAACATGCCTACATGCTTGCAGAATTTGACACCTTTTCTTACAAATAGCATTTTTTTAATGGCATAGTACAATGATGGGCAGATCGAAAATGGAATGTCGAACTAAAAGGAGCCGTTTAATGAATAAGTTGGTCACTTGGTCTGAGCTTAAATCTTTTCTCACATGTTTACCGCTATTCCGTTTTTGCGTCCGGTATTTTTTCCCTGCGATTTTGTTCCACTCGCTTGTTCTGACTTCTGTGGCTACGACCGTTTAATTAAACAACTGGCAGAAATTCGCATACCAAAATGTGCTTTTCCTGCTCTGAAGCCAGAGGCTTAAGTGTTTTTCCTCCACCTGGTCTCACTTGCCTATTCATTATGCACATGTCCACCTGCACGTGGGACTATACAATTTTGCAAATTTCTTCTGCATCCCAAAGGGGACAAGCACTCGCTATGTGCATGTAATAAAATTGCGTGCACTTTTTTCTACTCGGCTGGATTCCACCGCGTTGTGACAAAGGAATAGTGTTGGAAAGGGAACAAGAAAGTCTTCTACTTTGTGTGTCCCTTTTTTAGCACATATGTTGCTGATTGAAGTTTGGAGTGCCAAAATGGGAAATATGGTATAAAAATGTAAAAAGCGAACAGAACTGCACAAAATTAAGCGCATAAAACCTCCTCATTTTTAAGTGCTGTTGAACAAACAAAGCAGAAACAAAAAAGGACGGGAACAGAAACAATGCGTGAAAAGCCCAAAGAGGGATTAACAATTTTTTTTTTTTTTTTTTTTTTTTTTGCCATTTTCAGTGCACGCTCATTACGGTGTATAGACTTGGTTGCGATGTTTTATTTTTTTTTAAATTTCATTTGTACATTAGTTCTAGAAAAAAAAAAAAAATTCAGCTTGCAATAACAAGCATATGATCGTCATTTTGAGCGGTCCACTATAAGTAGACAAATTTTATTCGCCTAGAGCATCCCCCTTCGTCAGTGTTTGCGAGGCTCATAATTGAAAAGTTACCCTACGCGTATATGCACATGTGTATATTGGCGTATGTGCTTTTTTTTTGTGTTTTTTTTTTTTTTTCCTATTGCGCCTCACCCCTATTGTTGCAAATTATTTCCACTGTTTTATATTTGTTCTTAACATTTTAATGACATGTTTTTCCCCGTGGCGATGTTCTGTTGTTTTAAAGTTCCGCTTTCACCGTTGTAACTGTTTGTAGTATTCTTATTCCACTGCGCATGTATGTGCATGTTGTTTTTTTTAGTTGACACATTTGTCCCTTTACCCTGTCTATGTTCGAAATGTATAAATATTAAAAGAAAAAAAAGGTGTAATTTTTTTTTTTTTTTTTCAAAACTCCTTCTGTAGTAGTGAACAGAAAACTACATTGGCGCATTTTATTGTATGATATTCCTATTACCCATTAAGTGGGCATTAAAAATCCCTTCCTTGTAGTGTGTTTGTACAACTACGCGAATGTTGTTTACAGGTACGTGTGTGTCATAAGTGGACATTCGCCTCCTTGCAGTGTGATTTCTCTTTTTTTCCGTTGCTCCACGTTTTGTGAGTCATATTTGTTGTGTCCGCAACAGCAGTCACAAAAGGGTAACACTGCTAAAAAGCCTAAAAAGGATAACAAGCACGAACCTGCCTCTACCCACCAGGAAACACTGAAGAATACCAATGCAGAGCACCATGAAGTCCAACAATGGTTCGGAGGAAGTCACAGGAGAAATAAATTATGACGATTTAGCAAACAACATGCTCGAAAAAATGGATAAACATATACATGAGGAAACGCAAGAGTTGCAACATAGCCCCGGGAAGGTCTACTACAGAAATGTACCTGGTGCAAAAATGAATATAGGAGTGGAAAACCAAGCGAATGAGTTGCTACCATCTTACCAGACGAATGAGCATTATAATAATAACCAAGGAAACAGAATAGACGAACATACAGTTCATGCAGGTTCGTACCCTCGTCGAGTGATGACAGCATTAGGTCCCCTGCCGCTACCAGAAGAATTCAAAAAAAATATTCCAGAAAAATTTGTTGCAAAGCCTATTATAGAAGAAAGAGAAATATACGTATCGAAGAAGGAGAGGAAACAAAGGGAAATAGAAATACCACATGTAAAATATGAACATACCTTTGAGAAGGTAAAGAAACAGCTCATAGTGAATAAATTAGTACCAAGTGTTTCAGAAGTGATTAAGGAAGTACCAAAGGAAGTCCTAAAACCAGTTATCGAAGAAAAAATAATCGAAGTGCCACAAGGAGTTAAGTATGTAGAAGTACCTGTAGAAGTGCCCTGTCTATATCCACCAAAAATTGTCCCCAAGGTTGTAACGCAATATGTTGAAAGAATCGTGGAAACGATAAAACCAGTGGTTCAGGAAAAAATTATTGAAGTTCCTCAGACGGTGATTAAACAAGTGCCTAAGATAAAAACCGTAGAAGTGCCTTATTATATCCCTAGATATGTGGAAAAAATTGTAGAGGTTCCTTTTAAGCCAAATGGGGAGATGCCTCAGTTGGGCACACACATCCCCTTCCCCATTTCGGAATCGTTTCCGCCCCTCAAGCCCACGCAGTTCTTGAGTAACCCTACAAGGCAGCTTAATCAGCCCCACCAGTTTGAACAGTATGGGCAGCCTAATCAACCTAATCAGCTGCAAGCTCAACAGTCCATCCTCTCCCAAATGAACTGTTTTGCCAATTCTGGCAAAAGCATTATGAACAACTCAGAACAAATCTTCGGAAATTTCACTACGTCCCCAACTACGCTGAAGCCAATAGGTGGCAACCCACCTGGTAGCGCAACAAACACGCCGAGGAGTATCCCAAGGAGCGTCCCGAGGAACGTCCCAACCGGTTCTAATTCTCCCTTCAACTCCAACCAGAATTTTAGAAAGAACGAAAATTTGTTCAGCCAAATTGAGAACTTACCGTACACACATAATTTACCTGATGGACTGAAATGGCAATATCCTGATGGGACCTTATCGAGTCAGCAGCTCCTCCCCAATAGCAACAACCCAGTTCCGCCACTTGTGTTCACTTGCCCACCAGAAATTGGAAAAGTTACATGCACAAAAAAGAACATTCAACCGGACATTCTCACGAAGACGGGTGTTTACGAATTTGATGGTTTTAAAAAAAAAGGAACATCTCAGTCTTTGTTTCCCCCTCTGGCCCATCATGATCGAGTGCCATTTTTGCCGTCCCCAGCTTCACCTGGAACTCCCGACGTGAAGAACATTCAGGAGAATAACTAGTCCTTCAACAGGTGCAAATATGTTTCGGAAGTTTTTGTGAACTCTGCTATCGTGTGCAACCATCTTCCATTTTTGTTTCATTCACAGTTTTAGCTTTGACACCTTCGGGGAAAATATATACATATATGTGTGTATATGAATTACAAACTAATTAGCACCCGTGTTCATCAATCAGGGGTGGCACTACCATGAAAATCCATAAATAGTTTATATTGATTTGCATAAAAATTGTTTTTTGTGTCATGAATTTTGTTTCCCACATGTGCAGCTTTTCGTGCGAGCACCTATTTGTAGAAGTAGGAAAAAAAAAAATAAAATACAACTTGCATGCGCGGGGGGGAAATGGGGTGCAAGTCTTTTGCTCCTCTGCTCATTTGTTGTGCCATTTTATTTTGTCCATATACGTTCCCATTGTGCCCCTTTTCCTTTTCCCTTTTTTTTAATTTTGCAAAACAACTCGCAAAAAAAAACAACAACAACAACAACAAAGGTTGTGTGGGCAAAAAGGAGGAAGACAAAAATGGAATACTGCACAAGGTGATTCAATTCATTGGGGATCTTTGCGTACGCATGTACACAACCCCTCCTCCCATGTATGCAGTGAGCAGCTGTTTATGCTGTTCCTAACGAATGAAAAAGTAGTCATGACGAGATGCGCACATATGTGTGTTTTGATCCCACTTGGGGCATTCTCATGCAGGGACAAACCCTACCATTTATTCCGTTCGCCATACATATAAAAATAGCTGTATTCATTTTGTGTATTATCCTGGAACATATAGAAATTGAGCATGCCCCTGAAGATGCTGGCATAGTATTGTACTTAATCGTATGGGTAAGAAAATATATACATATATATGCCGGTAAGGCATTATAACCATAGAACTAACATGCACACATCTACCCTTTGTTAAGTTCTTTATAACGGCCACATGATTGACGTCATGGTACCACCCCTTTTAAACCAATCATTGGTTAACTTGCTTGCATGCAGCCTGATGCGAACTCCCTAGAGGAGAAGAACTGTGGATGTATATATGTAACCCTTATTTTGGTGGGGCAAAATTGTACATTTTTAATACGACAATGTTGTGATAGGTTCATATAGACTATCCTACAGGGTGCATTAGCAGGTGTGCTACTTTTTTCATCCCCCAATGGTAATATGTACAGGTAGAAGTGAAGAATCTGTTCTACTCGCTTTTACTTTTCACATGGTACTTGTTTTAAGACAGAATATTAGCTATAGATGGACGTGCGACTTATCATATACGCCATGTGAAACACGGTGCGTGTCCATATAAGGTGACACCAATGGATGCATTAATGCAGATTTAGCTGCCTAAAATAACGCGCAGTGGAGCTACATCTTGGACAACAAAGAGTGTATTTTAAGGTGGTCCGGACAGCTCCTTCAGGGGACCTCCCTAAGTAGGGAGCACATACAAAGTAGCGGCAACCTCGAGAAATGAACACTAACCTAAAACAGTACTGTGCGAATGCTAGGATGGGGCGATTTCCATATGTGCACATGAAAATATATGTGTAAGGGAAAAATTGGGCAATCGCTTAGTTTTGCCAAAAAGATGTATCCACACCAACTGGGTAGAAAAAAAAAAAGAAAAGTACAGGCTCTCTTGTTACGGTCTCTTCAATATTAAAGATAACCTTCAACCCGCTTTTTTTTTTTTTTTTTAATTGATTTCATTTTGACACCTTCGGAAGGGACATAATGGGAGGTGGGGATTCATATTTAACTAAAATGGGGAATCCTCATCCACATTAACAGATGTGCAGAAAAAAAAAAAAAAATAATAATAAAATATAAACACGCTTCCCTACTTTTTTGCAAACAACGTAGCTGCATATATGTGCGACGCACAAGAAAGCTCCTGTTGAGAATGCCATACGCAACGCGCATGTAGAATAAAGGAATGGTTTGCTTCAGCCCCTGGGTTACAATTATGATAGGTTTATAGAGGAAGAACTAATAAAACGTTGCTTCTGCTTTTTTCTTCTTTTTTGGAGGGGTAGCAAATGAAACAGTTACTCATTGGGGAAACAAGTGTGGATGTTCAACCTTGGGGAGGTGTATCACACGGGGAGCGGCAAATGGGGTGCACTCTCGGGGAAAGTCTCACTCAACCAACGGCACGTGCAACGGTCGTTTTTCGCCTGCATACCATCTGATGATCAACTACCCACTGACGGTGAATAATGTTCCTACAGTGCCTGCGGAATGCCCTCGTGAGGAGGGGGGAAGTACAGCCAAGGTGGAAGGGAACAATCTTCGACATGCACACGAGATATATGAAAAACAAACGAAGAGGGTTGAAGCAGCAACCAAGGAAAAAGCCACTGGACATAGAAAAAAAAATAAGAAACCCAGACAAATATGAAAAAAAAATGCATTTTGATAATTTAACCAAGGGAGAGCTGTACGTCCCTGAATCGTGTAAACCCAAAAAACTGGCCATGCTGTGTAATCGACTTTTCTACTTTGATATAAATGATGAAGAGTTACTAGATAGGTATGCACAAAGAGCTATCGTGATAGTTAACAGTATGAGTACAAAAGAAATTTCTCTAATATTAAATACGATGAGGAAGTTTAATCACAGAAATGAAAAATTGTTGGAAACCTTCGCGAAGCATATCCCCCGTAAGTTACACAAAGGGGTGCCCCAAGACATTTCACTAATACTGAATGCATATGCCCATTTTAATTTTATTGATAATAATTTGTTCAGCAGGATATGTGAAGAAATTCCTCACAAAATTACTTACTTTGAACATTTTCACATTTCCAGTGTGGTTAACGCTTTTTACAAGCTACAGATAAAAGACAGGATAATTATTGATGACCTCGTGGACGAGATAATAGAGCGAATCGATGAATTTGATGCTAAATCTCTAACGAACATTATAAATTCCTTTTCAAAACTAAATTACCAAAATGAAAATAAAAAAACGATATGGGTAAAATTTATCCAAGGTGTGAAAAATCTACGTAAAGATTTTAACTTGCTAGAAATTACGCTCATAACAAATGCATTTTGTAAAAAAAAATTCAAAAATGACAAAGTCTATCAGTTGTTGAACGAAATTATAAGTTGTCACATTTTCGAAATGAAATCTGTAAATGAAAGTAACTCCTTTTTACTATGCACCATTGCACATGCATTTGCTAAGGTCAAATATTATGACAAGGATTTATTTCATTTTATCTTTTCATACTTTACCAATGAAGAGAATTATGCGTCTTTGGACAGCCAACATTTCGCTCAACTGATTTATTCATGTGCTGTGTTTAAACAAAACGACAAATTATTCCTCGATACATATGCCAAAATGGTTTGCAAAAGTTTGGAAAAAACAAATAACGAACTAAACGAACAAGCCTTGTCTACCATTGCATATGCATATGCCAAATTAAGGATCCGAGATGCGAACTTCTTCGTTCAACTCTCTTCCTACATCATCAAGGAAAAAATTTCTTTATCTCCACAAAGTTTAAGTCTAATTTGCTATAGTTTCTCCAAGCTGAAAATAAAATCGCAAATGTTGTTTTACTTTTTATCCATACAGATTTTCCAAAACATGAATTTATTTAGCAAACAAGGCTTGTCGCTCATTTTGTCTGCCTATGCAAATTTACAAATTTTTCACATGAAAATGTTTTCTCTCATTAATAAGTATTTAAATCTCTATGTGGACAATTTTACCCATGAGGAGTGCGTGCTGATCGCTGGCCACTACCAACACGCGGTTAAGTGTATCACTGATGAGATAGAAGCGGTGGGGAATGCGCAGCGTGTGGGATCCTCCCCGTCTTCCCTTATCGCAACGTCTAACACGAAAAAGGAGTTAGAAAACTTTATCAACCTATTAACAGACAAAATTGGGCAATTCCAAAAGGAGAAAGAACAGAGAAAGGGAAGAGAGGCCACCGGAAGTTATCACCAAGACGGTTTAACTTCCAACGAAGGTGAAGAAGCGGATGAGGACGAGGAAGACAATTTCTTCTCCATTTTTAATCAAAGTGATATTATAAATGAGGACCCGGCGGATGTCGCGGAGCACTCAGGGCAAATGCCAAATCAACTAATCACTAACAAAGAAACATTTAATGATGCAGAGAAGAACCCGTTGTACAATCCTGATGATCCCTTCAGCCAACAGTCAGATCATATTCAAGACATGAAGAAAAAAGAAGAAGATGCACTTAAAATATATAAAAAAATGTTCTTACCGGATATGGGAAGTGGCACGTCCACCAAGGGAAAAATCCCACTAATTAACGAGAAGCTAAATGAGCGTCTGCGCACCATCCTTAGCAAACAGGACGTTACAGCAGAGGATGCTAATACAAAAGACGATAAAAAGGGGATGGGAAAAACCACGAAAAGTTTGCTCGAGTTAATGACGTCCAACAAGCCACCAAAAATAAATTACGAGAAGGAAAATTTCATAAAATCCGCTGAACAGGTGGAATCTGAATTTATAAGGGCCTACGTAAGTGAGCAGCAGGAAAACAACGATGATGACAAAGATGGTAGCGCAAAAAGGACAAAGGGCCGAAGAGGAAAGAAAAAACACATTCAAAATATGCTATGCAGGAAATATCAACCCGTTGATGATCTCCCAACATTGCAGAAAAAATGGAACGATCTTTATAGCCCATCACCTTGAGGTGTCCCTGATAAACCAGCTCGGTGTTAAAATATGTTTGTGTGGCGCATTATGCATATTCATTTGTGTATAGCTTCATGAAATTTCACCATATATGTGCGTGATTTGTTTACTTCCTTTTTTTTTTTTTCATTTTTCTTGACCTAAATATGTGTATACCCATTTTGGTATGCCAACTACACAATGCGTTAGCGTCTCCCCCCGCGCGTTTGTACCTCTGCAATTGCGCCCTTTCCAATTCGGTTTGTTCAAAATAAACTAGGCATCGACTGCGCTCAGCGTGGTGAGTAGGTCCGACGGTGTGCACAGAAAGCTAGTGCGAATGATACTAAGGGAGAAGCAACATAGTGAAAGCAAAGAAAAAAAAATATATCGCAACAATATTCTGTGTGTACAATTCTTCACTTTGAGGAACCCACTCCATATGGTAAATTTTTACAACTTTTTTTTTTTTTTCTTTTTTGTATTGCCTAAGATGGTATAACGGAACGGTAGATCTTAAATTTCCCACACGGGTGTTGTCATTTACAAATCCGTACGAAGAGGCACGCATTTCGATCAGTGTAGCTAAGGGGTAGGATAAGCGAAGCAGATTTTGCTTAGCGCCTTTCGCTTAGTGGAGAGGTTTATAGGCGAGAACGTGCACAGGAATACGTACAAACGTACATGTACATGCATGTGAATGTTAAAGAGCAACTGTGTGGGCCAGCTACTTCCTTTCGCCACTTTGCATGCAGAATAGGGTAACCATGCTATTGTGACGATTTGAATCCTCTTTTTTTTTTTTTTTTGGCGGGGGGAAAGGGTCACCCATCATATCTGACCATTTAGCAGATACTCTTCTACCTTGGGTAGATTCCCTCAGAGGGCACATAAACGCATGTGTGTGTGTAACCGGCAGTAGCAAAATGAACAAGAGATGACCCACCACGAAGAAGCCGCCACAGAATCACCCAATTATCAATGATGCATTCTGGGAGAATTCTCAAGAATAGTTATTACTTACCTTTTAAGTCCAAATGTTTGAGCAGTCTGAACTACCAACTACCCGAGCAGTCATACCATTTGCACTACTTTTTGTTAGGCACATGTAACCCCTTTACCGACAATGAAATTCATTTGATTGAGTACAATGATCAATCCTGCACTGTCCGGAATGTCGAGGTTTTTGACCACAAGGAAGAGATCAAGCACTTGGTTTGCTTAGATGTGTGTGAAAAGGGGGATGGCAAGGGGAAAGACATTCTTTTGTGTACCTCGGCGGTTGTTTCTGGGGATTTTGGTAGTACTAGCCAGATTTCTCCTGACACGGGTGGATTGCAGTGTAGGTGTTTTCTCTATCGGGGCAGCGTGAACAACTTCGATGAGGAAGAGCTTGTTGCAGGAGGGGAGACAGACACCGGCAAGTCAAAGGTGGAGAACCAAGCGAGTCGAAATTTAGATGATCTAGGGAAGCAGGAAAACAGACCTGTAAATAGTATAGCGCATGAATTGAAGAAAGATAAGTCAATGGATGGAGGAAAAGGAAAAGCAGCGCTGGACAAACTATGCGAATTGGGAGGAGAAAAACCATATGATGGCATCAAACACATCGCGGTGGATGATGATGAGGGAAAGTTTCGTAGAATTGCAGTTATAGATAAGTACCGTTACGATATATTTGGGAGGAGCCAAAAGGACGTGGATTTTGTTGCCTCCAAAAACATGGATCGGGAGTTGAATTACGGAATCTTCGATCCACATCACGAAAATATCTTAACCGTTATTAGTGACACTAATGTGTACGGATATGACATCAAAAATGACGTGGAAATATTTTCTACCTTTGCAAACCATAAAGCTGATTTATCATCCATCGACTTCAATCCAAATATTCCAAATGTCATTGTAACTTCATCAAATGATGGTTACGTAAAATTTTGGGACCTTCGATTTCTCACTGATGCATTTCTTACAATTAATACTCATTCACATTGGATCACCTCCATCCACTTTAACAATTTTCACGATGAGTTATTGCTAAGTACTAGTTCAGACAATACGGTGAAGCTACACAGAATTGACTATCCTGCGAGTTTAAATTTGAAGAAAAAAGAAACGAACTATCAGTTAATAAGAACATACTCGGATCACGAGGAGTCTGTTTATCAGGGCATGTGGAGCAAAACGGACGCGTGGGTGTTTGCGTCTCTGTCGTACGATGGCAAATGTGTAGTGAATAGTGTTCCAATGGAGCAGAAGTACAAGATTCTCCTATAAGGGTAATCTTTGCGGTGTGTTTTTCGCTCCCATGCGGTTATCCGCTATGCTTATCAATTTTTTTTTTTTTTTTTTTTTTTTTTTCCCATTTAAAATCCAAATCACGAACGGGGAGGGGCGCTTGGGTAATTACCCTGGCATACAGTCTGTTTGGCTACTTGACTGAGACAACCCTTGGCGTTTCACCTACCGTCCATTTGTGCACCACCCCGTGGACCTACGCTCCGGCTTAGTTACCTAATCGACTGTGCATTTTACCCTTCAAAAGCCCACGTCCATATCGCCACATATAGCCGGACCCAAACGGAAATGAACTAATCGACAAATGTTCCTTCCGTACTAGTGTTTTTGTTCCTCCACATGAATTGGTCAAAAAAGAAGGCCATGAACGGAAACACGTTGTCCCATGGGGGAAGCCTTAGGAACCGTTGCGTGATTTTATGACCATGTCGCTAGCGTTTTTCCTGCAGCGAATTTGTAGTTGCCGCTTCCGCGCAGTGAGATGGTACAATTGCTTTTTCTGTGGAGCAAAATAGAAATTACCTTATCGGCGCACTTAATCTGCAGCGTGTTTTTCTCCCCCTTACGCACTTTTTGTGGCTCACCATAGCCAACTGCGCGCGGAAGCCACACGCAGGGGTACACAGGCCAGTATAAGAATGCGCCCCTTCAGCGCACCACACCGCCTTCATGACCTCAAACGATTTTACACGAACACCTTGACGGCCCGCTAGCTCCTATCTGGTGTGCCCTCCTGCACGCCTTGCCTTTCTCCAGTCCGTTTCGCCCACCCAACCGCGCAGCAGATGCATGTTGCAATTTTGTCCGAGGTGTAGGAAGTCAAGCCATATAGGCAAATCTGGTAAGCTGCTAGTCCACCATCGCGAAAGCCCACTCTCCCACCCCTCCCCCAGTCCGGTTTCATGTTTCTGCTACGAATAGGAAAAGTGCTGCTTTTCTTCACCGTATTCGTATCATGTGTGATGAATGCGTGGCTTGTAATTCTGAGCAGACGTGTGTTCCAGCAGGGCAGGGGAAACTTTAATTTCATAGCGGACAATAAGACCAAATATGGAATGAAGAGGGCATTTTTTTTTAACAAGAAAAGTGTGTGCAAAAGTGAACTGAAAAATAGCCAAGGTGAAAAAAATGGCCACAAGGACAGCAGCATATTCAGGTATACAAAATATGATCAAACAGACGAAGCATATCTTAGGGTGCTGGAAAAAAAGGCAAATGAAATAAAAAACTCGAAAAACTGTTTTAATAAGAGGATAAAGAATGTACGGGCACAGGAGGATGGGACACAAGAACAACGGATGGATTATACGACGCTACATTTATTAGCAATTGAATTAAACGCCCTTTTACAAGACTGTGTGGTCGAACATATAACACAGGCAGATCATAAAACGATCGTTTTGCATTTGAATAAAAAAGGACAAAAGGAATATTATTTGTACATTTGTTATGATAATGATAATCCAGTAATTTCTTTAGGGTTGAAAATAAAAAAACTTTTTAACAGATTTATTGACGATGATTATGCACAGAAATTAAATCCCGTCTTGAAATATTCACTCATTTCGGATATATATATAAAAAAAAGTTTCGTCAAAATATTATGTATTGATTTTATCTTAAAGAGGAAAACAGATGAAGACATCGACATTGAAGACATCTTGGGGAATGGAGGAAAAGATGACCTCAGTAATAGTGGAAGAAAAGTCACACTCCTCTTTGACCTCCACAATAATTCCTGCATCTCGTTTCTTATAAACAAGGTAAATGATGAAATTTTAATTTCTCCTCATAATTATATAACAGAGAAGGTGATAGACAAGTCATACAAGGAGGGACACATTTATAATTTCCCCACAAATCAGGAATGTAAAATAATTCCAAATGAATATGATTTTTTTTCGTCCTTTTCTGGTTTGTTCAAAGCAAGAAAGGAGCAGATTTTTATTTCGTCCCTGTTGGATTTGTATGAAGGGCTCAGTTACAATACTGTATTAAAATTTTTGGATTATTTGAACATTCCGCGGAATGCCAAATTTGAAGAAATTGATTCCGGGGCGCTTCTGGATTTCTTCAATAAGGCATACATTAAGTGGGTGCGCTTTTTAAACTTAAAGGAAAAAGATGAAGCTCTTTCATTTGACCCCCATTTTGATTACAATTTGAATTTGTATTCGGCTGTAAAGTTTTTGAAGAAGGGTAAGGGGAGAGATACAACTCCCCAAGATGTATGCGCCGCGCCAACAATTGTTAACAACGGACATGTGGAAAATACCGCAGGAGGTAGTCGAATGGACGACGCGGTGGAGGGAGACCAAAAAGACGAAGGGGGACACACCAATCGGGGTGGCGAAAACAAAACCAACCCACAAGACAAAGCAACACATTTCGAAACGGTCATCGAGCTCGTTTATTACTACCACGGAAGGGACCTCTCCGTGAATAAATTTTACACAATTTTAAAGTTCTGTAAAGAATTTATAAGAAAAAAAATCCCACAGTATGAAGAAATGATGAACCAGTATAAAAACGACCGGGAGGTGTGCGCACGAGCATACTTGCTTCATGAGAACATAAACAAGTTAAGTGTATTCAATCACACCATATCAAAGATGACCGACTGGATTGACAAAAAAACATTTGACGCATTAATGCTAATTGAAAAGGAATTAAAATGCAATTGTCTCGAAGATAACCGAAAAAAATATATAAAAAAAATGGAAGAAAATAAAGAAAAAGAAGAAGTATTAAAAAAAAAAATTTTAAATATTGAACCAAATGCAATTAAAAGTTCGCAAAATATTTATAAAGGTTCTTTATTAATTAAAATTAATGAAACAGATTTGTCTTCCCCATTTTTAATAATAGGACGTAATAGCAAACAGAATGAGAAAATTTCGACTCAAATTTTAAAGTTCAATGATCTGTGGTTTCATGTACATGAACACCCAGGAGGGCATGTCATCCTTCGAAATAAAAAAATTAATGGTCAAATAATCACAGCCGATTTAAATTTGGCAGATATTAAAATAGACGAGGACATAAAGTATGCCGCCAACATGGCAGCCTATTTTTCCAAGGCGCGCAAGATAGAGAAGACCCTCGTGTGCTTCACCTTTGGAAAGTATGTGCTCAAGGATAACACCCTCAGCGAGGGCGCAGTGGAGCTTTTGAAGTACCGACTCGTATATGGCAGGTTCGTTTCCCCCCAAAGATGCGCTAATGTGGCAGTATATGTGTATATGTGAGGGTGATGATCCTGTGTGTGTGTGTTTTCCCTTGAGTGGGTGTAAGCATGCCCCCCGCCCCATCTACACGTCTCACCATCCAGGAATTACCACCTCTCTTGCACAATTTCGATCCCTCACGAGGTGCACTTTTTGGTGTACCCCTATACCCAGTAGTGGCTATTTGTGAGTACTTATCTATACACACTTGGGAATGCCCGACTTTTTCTGCAGACCGAGCAAAGTATACAGCATCATAAAGGACCTGAACGAGCGAAACAAGGAGATGGAAATTTCCAAGAAGAAAAAGTGAACAAGCCAAGTCGCCCCCCTGCCCGATAATTGTTGCTTTCCATTTCCATATGTCAAGCTGTGTAGCAGCATGTTACGGCATGCCCCGATCTGCTCTTTTTTTTTTTTTTTTTTTTTTTCACTTTATTTTTTTGTTGTCACATTTGTGTCATTTTGACTGTAATTTGGCAGGTGATATATCGTTCTCGTTTGAGGAAAAGAGGAGGTTCACTTTTCCTTCCGCCGTTTGCATTTCTGGGACTGCTCTCCGCGCCGCCATCTGAACTAGGTGTGAGCAAGGAGTCGAAATGGGTAGAGTTCCAGCGAGTTTTAGTTCACACTTGCGCGATGTGTACGTATCCGTGACGCATTAAGAATTTTGCCCATTCTCAAAAAATGAAAAAAAAAAAATAGCAAACGGGTGAGCAAAATTGAGAGGAATAAACAGTACCGTACCGCTGTGCACCATTTGTAGTATTTGTACCGTTTCAACGTTTGAATGTTTTCAACGTTTGTACCAAATCAACTTCTGTACCACTTCAATACGCGCCTCCTTTGCGCTTTTGCAACTTCCATACTCAAAGATGAGGAGCGCTAAGCGAACTGAAACGCATTTCCGCAGCCTGAAATAATGCCTCCCGTTCGCGCCCTACTGAATGTCGCTGCGATAGCTTACGTGCTTTTACAAAACGGCTTGTGCCTTTTCACGGGCAGCAAAAGTGGCCAAAGCATTTGTCCCGCGCATAACACCTACCGGGGAAGTAGCAGGCGTCCACAGAGTCATGTTAAAAGTGCACACCTGCACACCTATACTTATGCGTATGCCTATCCGTCTGGTTTGACAAAGAACGAGTTTTTGCCAAGACACGCGAAAGGAAATGGGAGCCGTGCGGGGGGGGAAACCCTGCGGACGCACTTGCTAAAAGGAAACAAAGGCTACAATGAAAAAAAAAAAAAAACGATATGAAAAAAAACTGTTCGCTGAAAGTATGTTCTTTAACCCCAAACAATTTAAGAACTTGTTTCCAGAGGATGGGAAGAAAAAGGCCACGGGC